ACAATAGAGGATATTTCATCAAAATTAACTGGTTTGATTGTAATACTACTGTTTGCAAAAAATTGGTGACTACTTACAAAGCTACATAGAAGTTCTTGGGAGTACAAAAGATGAAATTACATGTAACATAACAAAATGAACTTGTGAGTTAAAGATGCAATTGTCCATTTACCTATAAAATGAGGTAAAGGAAAAAAAATGATTGCCTTTCTTCGCTGTTGTATTTTTGTAATGCTTTTTTTTCAATGTAGGAACATCAGATTTGAAAATAAAAGAACACTCACCTTCATCTTGAAAGATACGCTTTTATGATTTCTCCTGAATCAAAACTGTGCTTAGAGGTAATGTTAGGTCCCTCCTTGACTGTTCACAGGCACAGTGTTCTCAATGCAGTTGTAGGGAACATAGAGCTAGGGGGTAGGGGTTAGCCTCCCATGCAGACCTTTTGGCCCATCATGCAATCCCCCCCCCCTCCCCCCAATGAGTGTGGGGAAAGAATGTGTGACAAAGCTCTAAGAACGTCTGTTTAGGTAGGAAGCAAAGAGACAAGAAACCAGTCTACACAACACACATACCCACCCCCTGGGTTCTAATGTTTTTTACATAATAATCTTGGGGTACTTTGTCACTGGGCTCCCAAATCCTTACCCGTTTTAGTCTCCATGTACAAGGGGAAAACCTGTCCTAGCAGTAGCCTGCGTAGCTGGCGGTATTGAGTGGGTGCGAGATTAATGTGGCGGAACCGTGTTCCAAAAAAAGGGAATAGGGACGAGGCGGTTGAAATACCGCGGTATTTCTCGCTGCTTGGCTGCTCGTGACGGCTCTGCCGTCAAATCTCACTCGACTATACTACAACGGCTCCGCCGCCAAATCTCACTCGACTACTATACAATACCGCCAGCTACACAGGCTATCCTAGCAGTGGGTAGAAGACTCACTGGCCTACCCGAGCCACCCTGAGCGAGCCAACTTTTCCTACCCAAAGGTGGGCTTGGCCAGACTGGTGGGCTCACCCTTTTAGCTGGGCCTTTTAGCTGTTCTCCATAAATTATAAACACTTTGGCTCGCCCAGCCGCGTCAACTCTGTAAAAGCAAGACAATGAGTTTGCAAAATCGCTGTCGACTCTTGGCTCAGACAAAGGGGTCAACTGTTTTCTCATGAAAACACTTGCTTCACGGGGGACATAACCCTCTTTACTGGGACAACTATCCTCTCTAAGAACAGGTCCTTAAATGATCATGAAGTGCATTTTGTAGTCCTAGACTACACACCAAGGGTATACAGAAAACTCCTCCCTGAAGAATTTCATTAATTATTCCTCTTTAATTTTACAAGAAGCTTTTTTGGTTTTAACACACAGTTCAGCTCACGGCTGCTAAGTATTATAAATAACGTATCTATCATCTGATCTATGTGTATCAGGAAATTTTGGCCAGTACCAACACATAGACAACACATAGCCACTAATATTATTACTGTTCAACCCATTATGTTTATAATACATGATGGCCCCATAGTAAGAACCACTAAATCATAAAATTGTACTTGCTCTGCCTTGCTTTAATAGAATTCTACCATTACTTTGTTGACATTCGGGCAGAGAAACGTTGTTTTTTTTTCCTTTTTTCATGACAACTAACCCGCAGCCAATTAGAACAGAACTGTGTCATTTGTGTTGTGTCTGGACCAATCAAAAAAGAACTACAACTTCTGGCCCTTCAACAAGGGAACTGATGGGCTTAATTTTTTCCCTTATCCCATCCTTTCGAGCACCTGCCACAGAGAGGGTTGGGGGAGGGGGACGAGAGAAAGACCCAGGTACTCTTCAGATCCGGGATTTGATGGAAATACAGTGAGGGTTAGTTTCTGGGAAAACCCAAAATTTCTTGACAGGAACGGCACGGGATGTGGCGTTGAGATAGAAAATGGTATTCTGGATAGTCATGGAATAGGAGTGGGAATGCAGGTTCAGGATCCCCTTCCAGACACTGTTTAAACAACTTTGTACTATTACAGCGTAAGGCAAACAAAACAAATTGAAAGTAAAACAGTTTATTGTCGTAAAACCTTAAAAAAAAAACAGTACCAGATCATTAAAACAAAGCACAGCCTTGAAAAATTATTGCCTTGCATCCTGTACAAATTAATTTAAAGCCATTCACACATATTCCAGCATTAATAGACTCATGGAAAAGTTAAGTATGATACATGCAAGAATGTCACATCCATGTAATTTAATGTCGCCAATCATATTAACCAAATGGCTGGTTTCAGCTTGTGGCCTCCTTCAAATAAGCAATGAGATCTGGGAAAAAAAGAAAAGACATCTAGTTTCACTGCAAAATCCCTCAATTTTGAAAACTATCAATAGAGTAGACTATACAGCCATGTATGAGCAGGTGCACTGTGGATTCAAGCCTCAAGTGACTCTTGAGCTAATTTCAAATAACAATTTATTCTCTTATTCGTCTTGAAAGAAAGTAAAGGGAATTTTTGAGGAAAACCTCGCACTTAATCCAGAATTCACACGGGACTTTTTCCAGGCATCCCCTCATTAATTAAGTGGTTTTTTAGCATACCTGCTCTTTCATTTTTCTTCTTAAGGCCTGCAAAGACCATCTTGGTACCTAAAAAGAAAATTGAAGATTAGAAATTCACATACATGCAAGTGAATAGTGGATGGGTAACTGGTCCATAGTATCCATGCCAGTGAAATAATAATGGTTCATTTGTTCTAGATAATGCACCTTTAAGATTATGTAAGGTACCAACTTGATGCAGGTCAAGGCTGTCACTAAGAATAATTTCAAAGTTGGCAGGAAAATAAACCATTAAGAATGTGCTTTAGGTTCTTCTTTCCTTTTGTTTCCCGTAAAAGTATCTGGGGGTCAACTGTACTATGGTAGCTGGAAAGAACCACTGGCCCTTGGTGACAGCCCTGAGGGTATTATCAACTTTAGAGTACAAATTTAAGGTGTCACTATTACATGGATATTTCTACCCTTGCATAAGTTGGATCTATCAAGTGGATGTACTGAAAATGCCTACGCAAATCAGTGGTACAGTGAATTCCAATCACCTTTGTTTTAAGAACAGGAGCACTATCTATGTTTAGAATTCTAGAGCGTTCGGTAAAGGTACATGTAAAGAACACAGTTTTGTCACATACCAGGAATGTACTTCTTTGGGTTTTCCAGGTAAATCCACAATGTATCAGGTCCCCAAGTAATGCCTTTGTTCTTATTGGAATCTGTGTATGAGAAACCTGCAGCCTGTCCTGTCTTGCGTCCAAACAGGCCATGAAGGTTGGGCCCTGTTTTGTGTTTACCACCCTACAAAATCAACGGCAACAGTGATTACTAACCAGGAGATAAGCTAAGATATGACATAAATCAATACCATACTTAGGTAAGGCTTGCTTACACATCTGAATATGGTTAATTCTAATGTGACATTCCATTATCACTAATTATTTCATTATATGAGGCCTGAATCTGGCTGTGTTTAAGAGTTTATTTTTGTTTTGTACATGTAAGTGGGCACATTCATGACAGACACCAAAATAATAAAGTATGACAGCACATTTCATCGGTGGATGTAAAAAAGGGAGCAAGCCAAAGTGTGCTCACAAGAAAAACATTTTCAGGGACTTTTCTGAAGCACAAAATTAATATGCATCACAGACGAGCACGGAGAATGGGTCCGCACACGTCAAGGGGTGGCAGTTTAAGAGTTATTTTAGAACTGAGTAGATCTGCAACACTTTTATGAGATTAAAAAAGACTTCTAAATCTCTTTTTCTGAAAAACTAAAAAACACCTTCTTGCTGTTCTGATGGGGTATGGTATAGTATAACTTATTATTGTGTCTAGTAAATTATTTTGACAGATTACATTTATTTATTGTTTTCTAGGAATTTGAAACAGTTCGAGCCTTGGTTTAGAAGAGGAAGATTGAACATTAAGAAGCCAATCATATCATAAAAATTCCTTACTGCTTCTACAGTGTGGCACTGTGCACATTTTGTCTTAAAGATCTTGGCTCCTTTTGTAGCATCTCCATCTGGTATACCTTCACCCATTTTGTTCCTGCAGAAGCAATCATTACAGTCATTTGTCCTATGTTAACCTTCATTAAAAGAAACCAAGATTAATGTGCATGTTGTGGTTCAATTTTTGCTCAGTTAAATTCATTACCATACATGTAAACTACCATTTATATACCCAAAAACAAAGGAAAATAAAATTTAAAAAATTAAACCACAACATGTACACACACTGTGCAAAACTTATTGCCTTTTACACTGGAGACATGTTCTCAACATAATCAACAAAATGCTGCCTGTAACTTTAGCACAGCAAGGTTAGGAATGACAAGCAATGGCTTAACAGCCTGCCTTCTTTCACATTCACGCCTAATATTAGTAGTATGACATAATATTATTAGGATCGGTCTGATTACTAAACAATAACCAATATAAAGTTTCCCCTTCCAATATTGTTACAATGCCACACAGACTAGGCACCATAATATAAAAAGAAAGGAACACTTAGCCACAAAATGCTTTTACGATGCAATCTGAGATTGGAGCTGAATGGTTGGGTTATATTGAAAGTGCTATTAATTTGAGATTGTGGATTTACAGAATAGAAAATTTAAGTTTAGTTTATCTCCTTCTCCAATGCACCACACAAAAATCTGCAAACATGGCCTTATGACCAAAAGAAGTCTCTCGAAATACAAAGACTTGAAAGCAGGAAGGGAAATTGCGTCATTCAAGTCAGGTCACAAGTGAGATTGCTGATGTGTTAGAACAAGTAGGTATGACCACTACAAGCCGGGTGCTAGCATTCAAATACTGCGATGTCTAGAAAAGGATTTGTTATTCTTAAAAACTGAAAATCAAATGATCACTTCAACATGCGTTCCACCTTCTCTTAATCTGAAACAAAGTACATCTAATCGGTGATGTATCAATCTTATTAACCGGAGAAGATTACCGTACCACCACTCCTTCCATGAAAAGCATTGCCAGGAATAAATAATACTAGAAGATTGATTTTACGAACATTGCGAGTTCGTTAAAGAATAAAATAAAAAAGAAGCAAGTGCTGTCAGTAAAGCGAAATTTATAGTTACAAGACCAGAATAGCCGAAAGCCGGTAAATTTTTACGCGTGTACCATACACGTGCCGAAGTACAACACTGACGATCTCTTGTCGAAATCACTCCTTTGACGAGATAAAAGTAAGACTGCGCAAGCCTTGGAGCAATCCCAACCCGTACATAAACTTTTTATCGCAGATTCGTACCTACCTTTGATGTAAAAAGTATGGTATTTCACGACGACAGTATTGCTTCTCACTTCCCGTTCAAGCGACAATTTGAAAGGTTCAACCGGTTTTGCGTCACCACTTATGTAAGAAACTTGACAGTACGCATGATCGGTGCAGGCTGCATGCTCGCGGGCTCATAGTCTACAAAGCATGCTGGGATATCTTTTCAGTAGCCTGGCAGTTTTCTGTTCTCGTGCAATCATGTCTGGACGTTTAGAGCTTTTACAGACTTTAACAGGTACTAGCAGACGATTAGTGCGTCGAATTTTGAGATATAATGACACTTGTTGAATAGCAACCATCGCTTGACACAAGGGTTTAGGACTTTGGGACAGAACATCACAAACATGCGTTGATTGTCTGTTGTTTTTTGTGTCAATCTATCGGTCCTATCCCAGGAAGGAAGGTGAACAACAGAACGTGGAACGAAGATTTCGTGCAAGGTCAAACGAGATCTACTTGATTGAGATGATAAAAGCTGAATGCTTCGTTGTACTAAATACTCGACGAAATAGCGAGGTTTTCTATAATTGCTTCAAGGTTTTTGTTTGCTGAGGTTTATATTAATTTATACTGTATGTTTTAAAACTGAAAGAGAAATCGATGTCCTTACTTTCTTTTCACCTCTTTTAGTTGTCAAGACAGATAAATTAATAACGTTGCCTTTTTCTTTCCTAACAGGTCATGAAGACAGAATATGGTCATTGTCTTGGAACCCCTCTGGAACTCTGTTAGCAAGCTGTAGCGGGGACAAAACCATACCATTCTACTTTATACCATGACTCTTAAAATAAGCACCAACCCTTTTACACTCCACATATAATTTATGCCTTTGTAGCTAATCTCAGAAGGATTAAGAACCATCGCAGCCTTTGCAAATTTTGTGCATCATTGTTACATAGCTTTCTCCTTCTAAGATTGATGTCAACTCATTCTGGCCTAAGATAACTCTTCTCCCTTAACCTTTAGCTCTGTTTAATATTGCTATTTCCAGTTATTTTCACTGAGATTTTGTTCTTCTTTGTGCTTAAAATTCAGGTCTAGATTTAAATGACGAGTTTTGTTGTTTGCTTGATTTCTTTTCTCATTCTGATTTTTTTTGATGAACACATCCGTCTTTGGGGCAAAGAGGGTGATCAGTGGGTGTGCAAGACAATTCTTGAAGATGGACATCAGCGGACCATCAGATCAGGTGAGAAACTTATTATATATTCAGCATGTTATGTAAATCACTATGTCTTGTAGTTGCATTGGTCAGTTGCCTGTATCAGTATGTGAATGCTGAGTTTCATGAATTGTAAAAGTCAAAATCACTTCACTCTCATTATTTATATAATTTGATGCACATTTGATAATATATGCACAAATCATGTAATTTGCATAATATAAGTAATACATTTATTATTATTATATCTGAATAGATAAATGGATAGCAGTTTGGTGGCCATCTTAGGAAGGGGGCGGGGTTATGTACATGTATGTCTCTTGTCTAAATTTGCAAAACAGGTATTTTGCTTAAGATGGCCATGTCCTTTTTATATTGAGCCAATCTTTACGTTGTTTGTCATCATTTCATCTTGTCTTATATTGCTGTTTCAAGGCCATGTGTCGCTTGTCGAAATTTTACCCTAACTGGGCCTCAGTATGCTAGCATGCTGTTGTTCTTGCTGTGCAGTAAGGGAAAAAATATTTGAGCATGAGACAGTGACAATTAGCAGGGCTGACGTGCTATAGCCATTTCTAGTGGCCCCTGGTACCTTTCTTTTATTCTTGGGCAAATAGGAAATCTTAGTTTTTTCATAGAAATCATATGCTGGGCACCCTGGATTTCACAAATTCAGAGTACTGGGCTCCCTTCAATTTTTCCAAAAGCAGAGCCTTGCTTAGAGTCTGAGGTGATTTTATTTAACACTCCAGATTTGCATACAACAGTTGGTCTTTGAAAAATGTCCAACTGAAAATTTTCTTATTTGCAATGAACCCTTTCTGTCGTCTGATATGATGTCAGGGAAATCATATTGCAAAGACTGCCATTTTGAAGCTTAAGATTTGCATGAATATACAGTGATTAATGTCTGACATGTCTGGTTTCTCTGATTATAAAACTTCTGTCTAACAATGTGTCTAGTTTCTCTGATTATAAAACTTTTGATGTGGCAGGACACATTCCATTCCAAAAATAACACCCATTTGTAGCCCTGACATCCTAATAAAAAATTAAAAACAAATTAAAAAAATAACATGCATTAGTGACATGACAACACAGCCAGTCTTGTCTAGCTCTGTCGTAATGATGAAAATGATGAATAATAACTTGCATCATAATGACTATATCATACTTTATCAACTCACTTTGACTCTGAAGATGACTACCGCACAGGTTGTCAAAATGTCAGTCACTGTCAATAACAACAGTCCTATTCAGGACTACGTTCACCCAGACGATCAAACTCAACCTACTTTTGAAATGACCCCTGGGTTCAAACCTTTCACACTACATGTATATCATAGCGGGGCTCCCGCGCGCGCGAAGCGCGCGTGGGACAGAGCCCCATACCCATGGAATATGGTCAACCTCTTTTCGTTTGGTTGTCACGTGATTGACCGAGCGTACGTACATACGTACGTACGTACGTACGTACGTACGCGTCTTCAGATTGTATGGGTGGGGTAGGGGAGACTATCAAAAGGAAGGGAGGGGTGTCTCAGGCGTGTCTTGGCAAGTCCACATCTTTAATATAGGACATTAACAATATGGTCAATTGACAGCTGTCCAAACAGGATAGCCACTGACCAGTATCCCATGACCATATCGCGGGTTCATGTGTCAACTCATCGAGGTGACGTGATTTATTTGGAAGCTGTCCGCTGACCAGTTAACTGTTTTACTAGATCGCGAACAACGTTCAATCTCATACTTTTACTAGTTTGGGAGCACAGGAAAACTGATAATGCACACATATTGGACATCAATGTTTTGATCAATTGACAGCTGTCAAAACAGAGTACCCGCTGACCGGTATCACTTGACCGTATTGCGGGCTCAGGTGTCGACCCGTCGAGGTCAAGTATTTTTTGAAGTTATCCGCTGACAAGTAAACTAGTTTTCAAGTGATCGCAGGCTCAAGTTCAATTTTTTTTTCTTAATTCATATGAAATATGTTGTGTTTATGTGCTGCACAATTAAAATTTTGATTGCAAACTGACCTCGGACGTGAAAATTCAGCCAGCTGTTACAGGCAGGGAAGACAGTTGCTTTTGTTTTTTCTCACAATGGTCACGCGTTGGTCACGCTCTACGTCCAATTTTTATGCTCTGATTGGTCAAAATTTGACAGGTGAGTTCATGCGCAAAATTTATGCAGCATCTTGAATCTTGTTTACTTTAACAGCTGAAGCTGACAGAGTTTTGTGTCAACTTGTGATGTTTTTAACTGTCTTTTTTTCCACTGGATGTACAAAATGAAATTCAGCTGCTATCAGGAGTCTTCTGTTACTCATGGCTAGTTTGTTTATTGGGTTTTTGGTTGAGAAAACGTCCGCTTGTCAAAGTCGGAACCCGATTTCGGATGGCATCGTTTTTCGTTTTCACCTTGCTTGATGCGTAAGAGGATTGCAAAGTCTGAAGCGATACTGGCTTTACCTGATAACTTTCAGGAGCTGCATCTCGAATGGTAAGCCAGAGAAATTATTGTATTTCATGTTTGTTTTTTGTATCTAATTTAATGAAGTGGAGCGTAGTTTATGCGGGAATTTAGTTTATGCGCGTTTGTAAGATTTGAGACAACGATCTCACCGATCTGGTTTGATATAATCTTACAGAACTTTAAAAAGCGTTTAGACAGTTTCTCACCACAAATAGAAAGAAAATGTTCCAAAGAATCTTTAGTTATAATTCCAGCCGGAAAAGAAAGCTTTGAGCGATTTTCTTGCCTCGAGTTCGTCTTTGAAAAAACAAACACCGGGAAGCTGGCTTAAAACATAAACTTCAGCAAACTTAAGCTTGAAGCTTGAAGATTCAGGATATTTAGGGACACTTTAATACTTGTCTTCCTGAATGAAAATTGTTGTCTCTGTTTATGTTTCACCGAATTATATTTCTTTTATTGATTGTTAGTAGTCTCTCTTGCAATTTTAATCGCTATGCCGATTGTTTTCAGTCGTTCAGTGAACATCGCTTGCAGGAGTTCTCAAAATGCCGCGTTAAACCATCAAATAAAAATAAAACATGATAAATTCTTTATTATCTTGGAGCGTAACTCTGTTAATGTTCATTCAAACACTACGCTACAGCTCGCACTTTCAAAAGTGAGAACCGGATGGCCGTATAGGTGATTTTGGAAAATTTTTTTAACAGTTTATGAATATTGAATGAGAGCAATTTGTATTGTGAAATACTGCTTTCTGTCCATGGTATAAAAAGGTTGGTTTACACGCACCCAGATTTGTTGGCAAGATTTTGCAAAGTAAACTTGTCGAACGCCAAAACGTTGGCCTGGTTTTTTTTTTAAGCCTAATTGATCTACGGTGATCAATAGCCATTACGGCTCTTAAATGTGATAAAAGATGATTACCAGTTTTTGAGTGTACATATGAGGCTATCAACTCGATGTAAGATTTGGTTCACTCTTGGGCTGTTTGCAAATTATTTTTCTCTAAAATCAGGTAGCCTTTCCCTCAAAAGTCGCATAAATGTGCTCTAAAGTTAACTGAATTGTGGAATTCGAATACAAGTTTATTGTTTAATTTAAATTATAAATTTACTAATGGAAGCCTCGCTTTTAGCCCTGGCTAAATCTATATATTACCATGAAATACACATGCATGTGATAACGGTACAGAACATTACCGGTTACAGTATACAATTTAGTACGTGTATTTCAAATAAATTGCTGAGATGGATACATGATAGTCTGTCAATCATGTGATACTACATGATCCTTATGTCATTTAGAATGTAGGAGTGCATGATTTATTTTTAAAAAAACCAAACACACAGTTTGGTTTGGGGGAAGAGGAAGTGGTGTTTGCCTACTCTGTCAGATCTGCATAAAAAAACTTCAGAGAATTTAGAAGTAAAAATTTCTCCAACACAAAGCGGCAGGTAGCCAGTTTCCTGGACAATTCATTGCACAATGCAGAGCCTATCTTGCCTTCTGGATTTCAAAGGCAGAGGCGCTTGTCATTGTGATCCCTTTTCTGGTCAGGATACCATAGAGACAATGAATATTAAAAAGATTGACTGAAGTCTTTTTCTCTGCAACGTTGGTTGTGGCCCATGTTAAAACGCGACTAGCTGTGAGTATGAGTAGGACCAAATAGAATATCTTGGCTGACTAACAAATGCTGTATCATCGGAAAATAGATAATCAGATATGGTCATCTGCAAGGCTTACTTCTGTTTTTCCAAAGTCTTGCTTTCTTGCACATTGTGTCAAAAGCCTTTTTGAGATCAACTTTGCACACAACGCTTCTGTTTCAGTTGACAAAGAGAGAATATTATGTCAATTGTAGTTCTCTGTCACTTGACGCAGTGACTTTCATAAAGCACTCTAACTGCTGGCCTCTGCAAGTGCTTCAAGATAATGCAAGCCAATGTTTTCCCTGTTACGCTCAAAAGGGAGTAACCTTGTTGTTGTTGTTGCATCCGTTTCATCTTTTATAATATTTCAGAGAGTAAGTATGATCATGGTTATGGTGCAGTAAAACATTCTCATGTCAGCAGTAGATTAGGTGTTCTAAATCTAAATGTCTGATCAGCAAAGGGCAGTGTAGCATCTTCAGCAGATAGGTGCTGTGCTTGTGCTGTGTGGGCTAAAAAACCGTGCAGTGAATTTGTGCTGGTGATAAAAAAGAATAGAGAATGTTCAAATGTTCAATGGGGTCCGGCCAGGGCCCTCAAGGCAAGCTTGAAGGCCTCTTTGTTGGCAGCTTCATTAATTGTTTTGGGAAGTTCATTCCATTCTTTAATGGACCTGGGAAAAAAGCTATATTAATGTATTAGTCCTGCAACCAGCACTTACAAATTTTAGTGGGTTGTAATTTCTTGTTTGGCATTCCTTCTGTCTAAAGTAATTTGGAATTTCTACTGTCAGGGTGTCATTTACGATCCTGTACAAGTTTGTTAATCTTGTTTGTTTCCTTCTCTGTTCCAATGATGGCCATTTTAGCTCCCCTAGTAAACTTGTGACTGTACCCGGTGTGCGCTGATTGCACTTCTTAACCAAATTAGTCGTTCTGCGCTGGACTTTCTCAACTGATTGAAGGTTCTTTTGTGTATGTGGGTCTCACACCGAGCATGCATACTCCAAGTGGGGTCTAACTAAAGAATAGGTCGCCTGTGTCTTGAGCTGTTTGGGGCAGTTATGTAGATTTTGTCTCAAGAAGGCGAGGGAAGAGTTCGCTTTCCCTGTAATAGCAGAAATATGTTCATTCCATGTTTTGCTATATAATTCTACACCCAGGTACTTGTGTTGTGTGACTGATGTTATGGGCTCTCCCATCATGGTATAGGTGTAGTTAGCCACATTGTCTCTGGAGTGAGTGACTCTAAGCAGAAAACACTTACTGGCATTGAAAGCCATCTGCCATTTCTCTGACCAGACTGCCAATTTGTCGAGGTCACTTCAAAGCACCTCGGCACTGTTAATGTTGTTAACAACCCCATATAGGATGCTGTCATCTGCAGACAGTCTCAATTCTGAGGTTATTTTAAGACCAATGTCATTAATGTACAGTAAGAACATTAGTGGACCCAGGACAGTGCCTTGTGGAACTCCTGATCTTACAGTCACTGGAGTAGACTGTGTACCATTAACAACAACTGTCTAAATTCTTCCACAAAGCCAGGATTCTATCCATTTGATCAGTTGTCCACAGATTCCATGGTGATCTAATTTCTTAAGGAGACGTTTGTGTGGGACCATATCGAATGTCTAGGAGAAGTCCAGCAATAATACATGAGTCTGTCTGCCATGGTCTAAGTTTCTGGCTCGGTGTTCGACTATTGTGATTAGCTGGCTTTCACATGAGTGGGCCCGGTGAAATCCATGCTGGTAGTTGACCAGTAGATGATGCGCATCCAAGTGACCCATAATATAATGGAAGATAATATGCTCCATGATCTTACGTGGCACAGAAATCAGAGATACTGGTCTGTAGTTGCCAGCTTCTTTCGTACTGCCTTTTTTAAACACAAGAGACACATTGGCACATTTCCAGTCTCCTGGGACTTGACCTGTTGTTAATGATTGATTGAATGTAAATTGCCGAAATGGGGCAATTTCTTCCGCTGCTTCTTTCAGCACCCAGCGTGAAATGCCTTCGGGACCAGTGGCTTTCTTTGTGTTGATATTCTTGAGCAGGGACACTATGCCTTTGGTCTGAAATATATTTGAAACACCAGTGCTGTCCATATCTCGAATCGTGTCTACATCCTCAATTGGTTGCTTAGGGTTTTTTTTTTTTTTTTTTTTTGCTTAGGGTTTCTGCCTTAGCTTTGTTATCAGGTACGTTAGTATTGTCTTTTCTTTTGAACTTGATATAGGTCCAAAATTTCTTTCCAATGGGTGGTGACTTCTTCTTGTTTTACCAGTCGAGGAGACCTAGTACATAGTTACACTGTAGGTGTTGATGGAGGTATGCTAATAGGTGGTTCCTGCTTCATTCAGCTTGAACTGTTACACTGGTATGACATCTTCGCCAGGTGCTTTGCCACTTGAAAGGCCATCAGTTGCTCGGCTATACTTGACTCCAGTTCTGTCGATCTGGACAAGGTGGGAGGTCGGATGGTGCCACCAAAGTGGCGTTCTACCGAGTATAGCTCAGATCAGTGTTCTCTCCAACAGTTCACTTCCTTGTTCTTGTCCTAAATACTTTCAGCAGATTTGGATTTGATAGGCGCTACTTTGTTAACTTGTGGTCTAAGAGCCACCTTGACTTTTTTGTAGGTGGTTTTTATGGCACATCTGTTATCAACCCCCTGATATTCAGAGCAGAGCTTGTTCCAATTTTTGCTAGCGCGTCTCCTTGATTCCTTGTATCTCCTGAGACTGTCTGCAAGATGTTGCGTGAGACGGATCTTTCTCGTTCGAACCCAGAGCTTCGCAACCATTTGTCCAGTTTTGGTAGAAGGAATTCAGAGGATTCCTTGACTCGGTCTTCTCTGACTGATCGGATTTCCTTTCCCGAATGTTTCCAGGCAGCGGCGTAACGTAAATGGTAGTCCATAGTTTCTTCCATTCAAGGTCGTGATGCTGGCCAGCAGCAGATACTTTTGCTTGTTGACGTGCTTTGAAGTCGTCAAGCTTCAACCCCAAATTACAATGTTTAGATAGATCCCGCATGTTAACTATACATGACTTGGGTTTCGTGGGAGGTTTTTCCAAAGGTTTTCTTTCTGGTCTTGACGTTTTTTATAGGACCAGTGCATCATCAATATCGCATGCAGCACTGACGTGTGATCTGGCCTCTCTTAATGAACTGTTGTTGCCTCTTCGTTTAAGAAACACACCTTGCCACCGCATTCTCATAGAGCCAGCATAAAAGCTTACCTGACCTTTTTTGTTAATGGAACTTTAACTAATCAATTAATTCTTTGCTTGTAGATCAGCAATCACGGCTGATCTAAGATGAGCGGGTTAACTTATAAGTTCTTTCAAACATTTGAGGCTGGAAACTCTGTTTCTATTATTCAACTGAAACGTCTTCGACATTAGTTTCGCATATTACTGTTTATTTTCAATCCTTTTATCAAATAAATTTTAGGATTTTACTGAAATTTTGACTTTTGGCGCTCTTGGGAGTGAATGGATAACCCTTTAGCTTATAGGACGATTTCTTTTCGTAGAAAAATGCAGTCACATTCCTTGGGATTAAGGAGAGTATTCTTAAACTCCCGATAGTTTTCTTCTTCATCTTTGACTGCATGGCGCACAATAAAGCAGGGGATACGTTTACCCTGACGTCTTCCCGCCTTATACACCCCCGGCCGAGGCACAGGGAATTTTATGTAAGGAAGACTTCTGTAATTTATGCATAAAACGAACACTTGGTTGACTTCATCGTATGTTACTGAATCATGCAGTCAATTTGAGACATTTTCGTAAAGCAGCGATAGTTAACTGTCAGTAGTACACTTGACCTCGCGTCAGCCGAGTTTGAAACTTTACACAGTTTACTTAAGGCGTCACTGATAAGTACTTCCTTGTCGATTTGACGTGGTCCCGTGGACACAGTGTCAATGCCAATGTCTTCTACTTCCGCGTTTGCAGCTTTAAATGCTTGGGCAGAAAGTCAACTTAGCTTCTTGAAAGCTCTTGATGGACCTAATTTGGACCTAATTTGAGCGGTGGAATTGAAACTTCATTTACGTAGAAATGGTACTTTGAATGGTTTGTCTAAGTGCTAGTAATAGAATCATCTATTTAACAGTAAACGTTGACCTCATTTAAGCTTTTTGTTCTTTGTTCTCACTGTCGGAGCTTATTCTCACCGTCGCGTGCAAGCAACGCTCACCTATGCCTCCTTAATTGGGCCGTGGGGGACGGGGGTGGAGTGTTGTCTGAGACAGACGTTCTTGAGCCAATCACCTATCGCCAATGGGGAATAACCTTTCATGATTGGTGAACTTAAATGCCCTGGAAAGTTTCCAATTCTTAAGGATACTAAGGGAGTGTTTGCATGGGTAGACTACAATGTGCACTAGAGCCTCGAAGGCCGCCTAACAACACAAAAGCAACAGTCATCCAGAAGCCGTTCGCGCCGCTCTTATCCCGCCCTCAACATGGATGACGACAGTATTATTTGCTGTTTGATCTTAATATGTATCATCTCCTTTGCAACCGGGTTTCCATCTGTGTATTATGGTCAAAAGTGCAAGAATGCTGCATTAAGAGCTCAGCGTAAAGACCTTTGCAAAAATTTTTCTAATGATGCCTCGGCTCTAGCTCTACAAATATTTGGTTGGATCTTGTCCATTCCTTGGCTTGTGGCTCTGTGCTACTGTGTTTCGAAATGTTGTCCTGGAGGAGTGGCAGTTGACATGGAAGTCTAAGATGCAACCTTTTTCCCAAACGTCACTGTTTATTGACGAAGCGTGCAAGACAATGGCGTGCTCCATGGAAAACTGTGCTACACTGTAGCTTAAGACTGCAAATTCCCGTGGAAGGAATCTGAAAAATGAAGTGCGGAAAAGAAAAGCCAAACTTTTTAAATATTAGGTGTGAAATGTTAGATTGAGCAAAACGTTTTTAAAGTGCAGTCGTGATCGCAATAGTACCCCCTATTGCATTTTCTTTTGTTTGTATTTACGCTTGCAGTTCAGGCTTTTTAGCGCGGGAAACCATCGCTTGCCGACCCGCCTGTTATCGTATCGGCTACAGTGACTGTGTTTTATTGGATAAATTTGCGTGTATAGGCAATCTTCTTGGTACTATTTGCGTGTATAGTTGTTGTTTTCACTTTTCTAAAATTTATTTTAAAAAGTCCGTGTTATTAATATAAATTTCTGAGTGTACAATTTAGTTCATGGAGTTGAATGTGTGTTCAACAGCTGTTTATCATGGAATGTTTATAATGATAGCTGTGAGCGTACATAAATTTGAGACAACAAGTAAAAGATTGCTGCGTGGCAGATGCTCCTAAGGGAAGGACGCGTTCTTCTGTTCTCCACGTAGAACGTCAGCCAAGTAAACGGTCGCCAAGCCGCTTTGGGATCAAATTACAGAGGATCTGATGTTAGGTATAGTGTAAGAAAGCCAGTTTATAGGGTGGTAGAGAAGCTACTTATTGAATTTTCGAGGTTAACAAATAAACGACTTCCTGGTGACATTTCATGTAACAAATGTAAAACATTTTAACCAGAACTAGGGTACTTTTTGTTTCGTTAACCTGAGTGCGAGTGAATAAACATTCTCTTTAGGAAGTATAAAGTGACTGTTGGGTTACAATCTTGTAGATAAAAATGTTGAACATGTTCTATTGTTATTTCCATATTTTATGAGACCAGAAAACAAATCATATAAATTGTCTTCCGGAACGACCACAGTTAAACTGCAATCACCTGGTTAGTTATTCTCCTAGCAAGCACCGGGAGAAAATTCATAGACACGCGCGCGCGCTCTATTAAGAAATAACAACAAAAAAAAAATAGTCGGCGCCTGCTGACTAGGACTTACAAAAAGAGTTACACTTCCGGGTTCCCCGCGGCGATCATCCGCATGTATAAAATTAATTTATATATTTTTATTAATCCTTGAAAAGCCACCCTTTTTGTACTCGTAACAGTTTTAATTGACATCGAACATCTTGCTCTAGGTGAAAAGGAAAACGTGTTGAAATGTTTGAAATGCCAGTGTAGTTTGCAACATTGATTTATTGATTTTTTACAGTCTTATTAATCAGGCCGGTATAGTCTGGTAAGGATGTTCTTTCTAAGAAAAAAAGAGAAGACGTCTAGATGCAGTCATGACGTCGTATAGCGTTTTTTCTTGCAGGTTAACATTTTATAGTGTACCCTTCTCAAACTTTTCAGCGCCCTTGGTCACGATGCCTGTATAATGATTCTACAATGTTTTGTAATTCCCGTCATAAAAGATTACTGCTTGTAGATATAGTCAAAATTAAGAAAAACTGTCTCCAAAACTGTCTCGTTCGTCAGTGGTGATTAACTTGTTCTCATCGGCTGTTTTGTATGACAACCGTGGAAAGAACCAGTGAGGCACAGGCATATGCCGACAAATAATCATAATGATCTTCGTGACTTCAGAAGAACTGTTCCCATTTTATCTTAAAGCCCTATTTATTACACGCCAGTGCCCTTGGCAAAGGGCTCCTTATCGGTTAACTGATCACTATGCGATGTGTCAGTCAATTGAGCGACATTGTTTGAATTGAGGGCATGACTCGGTGTCAGTAAACGACGCGTAACTACGACGTAGAGACAAAACACAACTAGAAGCAAGGCAAGTCTGAGCAACAGCTTTGTTCTCCTATCATGGACGACTGGCAGTTAGGGTGCTGTGCTTTTCTTATTGTTATCGTGTCTCTAGCGACAGGGATTCCATGCCTTTACTATAGTTACAAATGCACATCTGCTGGAGAAAGAGCTAAACATAAAAGTGATTGCAAAAATATTCACAACGACGATTCTGCTAAAGCTCTGATGGCGTTCGGCTACATCTTCTCCATTCCGTGGATAATTGCTGTCTGTGGTTGTCTGTGCTGGCTCCAGGCCAACTGTTCAGACAACTCAGTGTCACCATCGGATAGACCAAGTGAGAGCACAGGCGGTACTGTCGTATTTTGTGTACCTGTGTAGAGGAGTTATCAGACTGACTGATCCTGGTTTTCCACAAGAATCTGACTTGATCGGCTCCGTACCTTTCCTAACACGCTGTCTGTGTATGTGACGCAGATTGCGCTCTTAAAATTGCGTGGGTAGTGGGTGTTTGCACATTTGTGGTATGATGACCTTGAAAACAGCGGTGTCTGACATTAGTGTTACCAAGATGTCCTTTCACGGCGAATGATGTGCGGATTTTCTAAAACCTTAAACTACGCGGAGATAAAAAAAAACTTTGTGCCTTATTTTCGCGGAAAACTGGAATACTACTGGTCTTAAAAGTCTCAGAGCTAGAGTAGGAAAAAGTAACTTTGGGTATATACTTGCGCGTTTATCGTAAGCCTAGTGATGTCGACATCAGCGTCTGCACAAGAAGCGAAGGACTGGACATTTTTAAATGCTATTCATAGTCTTTGTTATTAGAAATTCATTTTAAATCTCATATGCATTTTGTTGTTGTTATTGTTTTTGTTGATGATGATGATGATGATGACGATGATGATAATGACGATGATGATAATGATGTTAGAGAAGTTTTCCTGTGTCGATTGGTCTTTTACATATATGAGGGTTATCTTGAAGATGTGAGGATTCTTGAAACCAGAATGTCTGGTTTGGGCGGACTTAAATGATGTGCTGTATATTTCTCCTGTCCGTCGGAACTTTTTGTGCTGTAGTTAAAAAAAATGTAAAAGAAAGTGTTTGAGCCGAGATGGAGCACAGGTCAGTGTAGTAATTAGCTGGAAAGATGAAGAATTACATTGTTGTGAACACTGTCAACACCCGTTTTGCGGACCTTCTCCGGGGACCCGCGAGTTGGTGTGCAGTCTTCAATGGCGAGAATCCTTAATACAAGCGGGTTGCGTGTAAAATTTTCTTAGGAAACATTTGCATTCCTTGAGACAGATTGTGTGTTTAGATTTAGCATGTTAAGGGTTTAAGCGTATTCAGGCATTAATATGAAATTATTACTCTGTATAGTTCAATAAACAAGCAGGGGTATCTCGCTAAACAGGACTGCGAGTTTATTGAACTTGGTTTTAAAAGTCTTCCTTTTATATCTCTTCATTTTTACCCAATAATCACTGATTGATTTGCAAGTGATTTTTCCAAAGACCATCGACCTAAGTACTTTGCATGTATCATTAGCTTTCAACTGCACACAATTGGTATTTTTAAAATTTTCTTTCAAAGTATCTATTTATGCACCGACATATGAATCTGCTGATGATATGGAATGTCGGGTTACTATTTTATGTTGATGACTGCTGTTAAAAGAGACGACCAAGAAAACATGCAGTTCCCTGTTTTTTTTTTCTCACGGCCCCGATCCTCGAGGCACTGCGTAGTTCAAACAAGGAATTTGTGGTTTGCTTACGAGAATTAAGAATTTTATTGAACTCTAACTTTTGTGACTTTTAATCTGCATTTCTCGATAACGGTTTGGATTGGATGAATCTGAACCACTTTGTGTTTTTAATGTGCGCTGGCGCTTGTTATTCGTGACAAAATCTGACCGGCTTAATGGAGGCAAAGGTTAGCGTAAATCGACTGCGAAGGAAATAGAATCTGCCTTACTAAGGGAGGGGTTTGTGAAGGTGAGAAACGACGCCAAAACAACAGTCAGCCGGAAGCAAGGTCTGAAACTCGGCTGTCTTAAAATGGAGAGCAGTATCCGGTGTTATATTTTTCTATTCGTTACCGTTACTGCGGCGATGGGGCTTTCCGATTTCTTGAGCCCTTGTACCTGGTTTGCAAAGTCTCCAAATCAGTAAAATGCTGAATGTGACGATTATTAATTTTAAGCGCGGTCATTCGGAACAATACTTCCGGGTTGACAAACATGTCTCCTCTGTTCTGTTTCAACTTATTTCAAAGACGTTTATTTAGGCTGCTTTCATTTCTAGCCTAAATGCAACGAACAAGACTGTTTACTGTCGGTAAAGAATCGCATGCAGCGTGTAACTAATTCGGAGAATCACGATGAAGAACTTGTTAAAAGCCTTGGTGACCGAGGAAACTCATGGTTAGCCATTCGTGCACCACACGCATAGTCTTCAGTGACCATTATCGACCGAGTACGGCATTTTACTTTACAATCGGCTAAACGTTTACCGTTGTAGAAGGCCATGGTGGATCATTGGTTGATACCTCAATGCTATGACAAATTAGGATAAGATTAGAAATTTCTAAAATGTTTCTTCATGCACTTGTATCGACGAAGACGAATAAGTACCAAGTTTGTGTAAATATACATTTGTGTGACGCCACTTTAAATTTCCTTATGAGTTAGCAAGGGTTTCCTAAAATATTATCGACACATGATCTCTTTATTCTTCTGTACAATAACTTGACAGTATGACGTAGCTAGAGAAAGAAAACTAATTACTGTCAACTCTGAACTGAGGTGTGATAAAGTTATTGAGAGGAAAGTGATCGTGAACATCTTGGTAGTATTTTTGCGTATTTGCTCCTAAATGAAAAATCCATGAAACTGCTGTTTCCTGGTTTGTATCCTTCTGATTATTGTTGAATTATAACTACTGACGGTGTAGTTATAACAATAGGACAATTGCACGATGACGACATTTGACTACAACTACCAGAATTCAATTCGGTTTTGCTTTGTTATTTAAATTTGTCAATCCCGCTGAGGATTAAGGAACAATAGCCTTAATTTGCACAAGAAAACAACAAACTCAAGGATTCTGGTAGTTGTAGTAAAATGACGTCATCGTGCAATTGTCCTATAGGTACTAATAGCTACCTGTAATGAGTAGATGGCTGGAGATTTCTTAGTGTCCGTGACAAATGTTTAGTAAAGCCCAAATTTCCTAATCCCGTTAGCTTCCCTTTCGGACGCTTGCTAGGATAGGCGGTCAAAGCATGGCTATGTGCGACATTTGTTTTCCCCCTCCCCTTTCAAGGATGAGAGAAAAAATATGAGAATGCGAGGTTCGTTGCAACTGCTCTTGATGTAATATATCAAGCATGAGACGCAGTGTTTCATCAACTGCAAACACCGAGAAGAGAGTTGAGAATACGACGCGCAGCGGAGTATTTTTGACGAACCTCTAGGTGATTCATCTGGTGATGAAACACTTTGTCGAATGCTTGATATTACTTCTCAAACAAAATGACTTTAGAAGGAGAAATTAAGGATGCAAAAATGACCAGTTTTTCATCTCATTTCCAACACTCATTAAACATTAATTTCTTTTGTATTTTCTTTATGAATTATTAATGAGTTTGAGGAGGTTGTTTGATACACTGACGTGACTGACATTTATCTTCGTAGATTAACAAATAGCTCATTAGAAGTAAACCTAGTAATTGCATACCCGACGCCATTCTCGGGCGGGTGAAAACCTTCCAAGCAAGTAGCCATTCAGAATTGTATTGCGCGAAACGGTCACATGGTACAAAAACACCTTGCTTGAGGGCAAACAACGCAATGGCACCTTGAAAAGAAATTATAATAGCTTTTTGAATGATGGTATATCTTTGTTTATCTTTTTCCACTGAGTCTAGCCTGTGAGCAAGCTCTCCGGGGCGCTCTGGCGGCGAGGCGGGAAAAGGAAGGAGAGCTTGCAACTACGTCTCTGGAATTTGAATATCTGCATCGAAAAAGGCGATGCGAAATGCTGACTGGCGGAGATGACATTAGTAATGACGTTATTACCCTTGCCACGTGTTTTTTCAATGTTTGTTTACGTTCGCGCTCGTTTCCGCTTCACGCTGATTGGCGGAAATCTGACAGCTCAGTCGATCGGGAGCCACAGGGGAATTGGAGCTGGAATTCAAATTCCAGATACGTAGTTGCAAGCTCTCCTTCCTTTTCCCGCCGCACCGCCAGAACACCCGGGAGAGCTTGCCCGCAGGCTCCCCTGAGTCGTTTGTCATTCAGCAAGGAGTTTTTGTTCTATTTGACCGTTTCGTGCAAAGGACCTATTGGACAACAAGTTCGCGTTTCTATGAGTCACGCGCCAAGTTGACCATAGTGGCCAAATTCTTTTGTTACAAACCAGTTAGAATACTACCCTCGATTACCTAAACATTTTTGATGCGAACATTTGAAAACAAGACTTTGTTTACCCAACTTGAATTCACGAAAACGTGCTTTGTTTGTCCCAAATAAACTACTTAATCTTTACTCCTTAACGTTAAAAAAAGTTAATTCTGTATTATTTTTGTGACCCTTCTTTCTAAGAGAACCATTAATTAGCAAGCTTCTTTTTATTTAGAACCATGACAAAAACGATGCACTGTAATACGCCACTTAGGAAACGATGATGGGACTGGGGTTAGAATGTGTCCCTTAATTGCTTCTGGGATCGTTATTAGGGACGCGCCGGTCTGCTGTTGGCCAATTTTGTCGGTCCTCAGTAACAGTCCCAGGTCTTTCCGAAAGTTAACTCGTCCCAGTTTCCTTCTGGTTCCTAAACTGGCGAATTGAACTTCTGTCTTTCTGTTTCAGTTGACTGGTCGCCCAATGGAATGTACCTTGCATCCGCCAGCTTTGATGCAACTGTATGTATCTGGGACAAGACCAGTGGAGGTATAAACCAAACTATGCTATTTCTTTGCTTTGTTTTCCACATCTCTACGTTTTGTAGTGAGAAAGGAATAATTCGAACGGGGGCGGAAGACATGCTCGGCTTCTAGGGGTAGAAGAAAGAATCAACGGAGTGGACTGGGGGCGAAAATGTCCATGGGTCAATCTGATAATAAGAGCTCCGTAAGTACAAGAGTCCTTGTAACTGGAAAGTTGCTAACACTTGCGGAAACCACTCTTTAATGTCCACGGAAAGCTACTTTATATCAACAAATGTCAGCGCTTGAAAGTAAGGGAGTGTTTCAGTAAAAGCAGGAGTATAGGCGATTTCCCAGTAACCAACGAAATTCCTCTTTACGTACAAAAAGGATTATATTTGTTTTGGTAAGGTTATTGTCATATCTTTTGAGAACAAACTATTTGGAAAATAAGCGGTGCTAGAAAGTGACGTGACACTGTTATAATTGCCTGTTATCTGGACGGGAGGAACGCTTGACGAGGTCTGTATTGAATCTGCTATGCTCTGCTGATTCGGTTTGTGTACAAGGTTTCCGTTTTTTGTAGGAACACGTCGCTCAGATACGGAGCTGTTGGTTGTCTACTATTTCATTACTCGGGCTTACCGGTGAAATACCATTTGGGAATCGCTTTTACCGTTCCATTTACAGAGAAACGTCTGCCAAGAGAGAAGTTAGTGTAAAAGATAGGTTTTAAGAAATGGAACATGAATTTTCGTGTGGTACATTCCAACGGGGAAGAAGGCACTACCTTTAAAGACGTTCCCTGTTTCGGTAATTTCCTGTACCATTTATCTTCCAAACTGATTTTCCGAAACCCTCTTTGTCAATGGTAAACAACCACTATTTGGACTAAACGAACTGAGAATGATGTCGCATTTCAGAGTTTGAATGCAACGCAACACTTGAAGGACATGAAAATGAAGTGAAGTCTGTGGCATATTCACCGTCTGGATCACTGATTGCTACTTGTGGAAGAGACAAGAGTGTCTGGGTATGGGAAGGTAGGCTGTTAATCAAATGAATTCCCTTTAAAAGGAACAACTAGGTCACAATTATAGGTGGTTCTGTTTATTTTTTCTTTTTTGATTGTGAACTCTATACCTGTAGAACCCAAATCGGCAAAGAAAAGGTCTCAGTAGCTTTTTACTTGTGCGGAAAAATGCATAAACATACGAATAAAGATACATGTTTGTCTTAAGGGAATATTCTAATTCTCTGGTTTACCTTTGCCCTACTTGCTAAGAAGCCGCCGTGTTGTTAATAGATTAAATGTTGTCATCGATCAGCTGCAGTTTCTCAGGTGACTGCAAGAGTATCCTCATGCAACAATTCGGCACTTTATAAACGAGAAGGAAACTGGGCCGAGTTGATTTTTGCAAAGACCCCTGGGACTGTTACTAGAGACAGGGACAAAAATCGGCAGGCGCGTCCATAGTAACTATCCCAGAAACAATTGCGGGAAGCATGTCGGCCCCAGTTCCTTTCTCGTTTCTAAAGTGACGAATAGATGTTAAATACGCCATATGAAGAAGAGGTTGTTTCTTTGCCCTCCTTGTGTGGATGAAGCATATATGTAAGAGCTATTAAACACAGTTTTCACTGGAAATTGGAAGATAGGCCTAAGACTTCGGTTACCATACGTTTGTTTGATTCCGATACCCGCAAGTCTCCAGTAACATTTCATTCTTTTGAGTGTTTTTCTTGAAATGTTTTACAGTTCAGGAAGATGATGAATATGAATGCGCAAGTGTTCTTCATAGTCATTCACAAGACGTAAAGCGGGTCACGTGGCATCCACACAAAGAGGTCTGTCTGTACAAAGCTTTGTGCGAGCTGATCTAGACATAAAACGCTGCAGGCAGGGTTTACGCGAAGAACCCTGAAAATTCTTGGGCACTAACAACCCGCTGCAGGAACATTTGAATTAACTGCCCCCGATTAGTGAGAGTATATCTTGTCCCCAGAGCCGGAAATTTGAATTTTTCTTGGACTGGTTTTATAAGAGAAACTTCTCTGAGGCCCTCTTGTCCCTCTTGTCCTCGTTAACTATTCCTTGTCTTCCAAGGATAATTTGTACATACAGCCACGTACAACACTCTCTTTTCTCTCATCCTAACATCACCAGATCACGATAAGGTGCTGGAAGGTATCCAATGGGTGCAAAAACTGTTATGTTGTAGTTGACATTTCCATTTAGACTTTACATCCTACACAGAACGCGTGCACATCACTCTAGGTATTTTTAGACGTTATCTTCTTATTCTTTCACCAAAACTAAGGTTGCGTTCGATTGATCGTATTTCGGAATATGAATACGGAACTGTTTTGTTGCAAAACTCTTGTACCGTCCTTTTTGGGCCATTTAAATGCTATAATCATCAAATATCTTATTTCAAGCAGATTTCTTAGTTATTGTTAAGCAGCGAACGCCAAAATGAATGATTTCAAGAGTTTATTTCATTAATTTATTCTTATTCTGGGATACTGTTAATCGAACACGCCCTAAATTCGGCCATGCCCATGTAGTACCTTTTTGAAGTTTCCATGTACTTAGCCTGGCTAAACACAAAACCAAATCACCACCTTAGTAGAACAGCGCGAACCGGTGAGTCCGATCTTTTAACTTGGAATCTCATTATTGTATGGTGGAATAAATGAACGCCAGTGATGTCACGGCCTATGTTCTTAAATACAAAATCATGCTACAGCTGAAGGGAAAATCTTCACAAACATGTGGAGGTTAGTGTTATTAGAGTAATGTACGTGTGCCCGCAAGTTAGCACCTTAATAGTATAGGGTGCACCCGTATGCCCATCTTTTAAGTTGGAATAAATTAACGCCATTTTCACGGAGTATTTTCTTTAAAGCCAAATCAAGCTAGAGCAGGATGAAAAGTTCTCACAAACATCTGTGGTGGTTAGTGTTAGTAGAATAGTTTGCCTGCGTACTCCTTAATACTGTTTGCACGGAAAGAAATACAACTTGCATAACTAGGTTGCCGGTCAACGACAAACGAGTTGAAGCGAACCTTATCCCTGAAATGAAGTATCCTACCTCGCTCTGATGAGCCTGTCAAGGAACATTCCAGCTTAATAGGAGGAGTACCCGTTGGGCGCTATATTACTCTCTTTCATCCTTAAAAGGAAACTTCAACAGCAAAGCTTTCTTTTTGTTTTTAATATTCAAGCGTAGCCTAGTGCTTAAGCGTTTTGTTGACCGTGAAGCCGGAAACTGACGCCGCGTTCTCACAGGAAGCATTGGTTGAGAGGGTGAGAGTAATACCACATCACCGCTCACGCTCGGATTTCAGGATTAATCTTGCCGAAAACACTAAAACTTATTAAAACAGGATGATGTGGAAGGAATGGCCACCACAGGCAGACGTAACCGTACGAGACAAGAATCGCTCAGAGAGAGTGCTCTATAGTTAGTAATTACGAGTTTAGCATAACTGTCTAGGGTTTCTCTGTCGACAATTTGTTAGTGAAAAGCTCTCGGCGAAGAAGCAGCATGTGACTTGTTTGATATTCCATACCGATTCCACTAAAGACTGCATATGAAAACTTAAATCATTAAAATGGGCCATATTCGTCTTGTAAGTTTATGTCATGGGTAACCGGCCCTTATCTTGATTTCAGATTTTGGCATCGTGCAGCTACGACGATACAATAAAACTTTACAAAGAAGATGACGATGACTGGTAAGTTATTTCTTTACTGACAATATTTTTGGAAAGATTTAATTGTCACAACGCGTACAGGATATGCTTATTTTTTGTCCGTTTTTTAACTGTTACCCGAGCATTTTGCGTCTCGCAAGAGAGGAAACATAGTGGCCACTCTGAACACGTGGCCAACTTAATGCCCTCTTGACAAAGTGACCGTTAAATATAGGCCAAGACAATAAAAAAATAACTTGTTCAGACCATAGGTTTGATAGTAATTATGGGAACTGTTTTGCGAGACTTTAGTAAGTGAGCACATAACAAAGGATGGCCTTGTAATACAGGCTTGACTGTGTCTTCAATTCACTGAATTGTCCCAAAATTTTCAGCGGTTTCACCGCAAATATATTTTTGAACATTTGACGTCATTTCCGTGATTCATAAGAGGGTTGTCAATAGAAAATTGTGGTCGGTTTCTTGTTAGTTAAGCATGTGGTCTGAGGTTTGATAATGGTGACGATGATAACTGTGAGAGTATAGTAAAGAGCATTGATAACGTTACGTTGTGTGTTCTTTTAATTTGCAGGTCTTGTTTTGATACTTTAGAAGGTCACGAGTCTACAGTGTGGGCTATTAGTTTTGACAAAACTGGTGACAGAATGGGTTGGTACCACTGAGGTTTCTGTTAGTTATCACAGTCGCACGTTTTGATATGTGTAATACTGCCTTAGAATTGCTGTGATTACATTTATTTGCACCTTTTTTTTGAAAGGATATAAACAACAGCTTTTGACAGAAATCTTTTAACAAACAACAGCTGTCACTCAATCTACCTTTGGGGTTCTTCATGTAAATTTTCATATTGTTTTTAAGTTAAACATCGTTACAAGTCAGTTCTCTCGAAAAAAGAGTACACGTTTAAGCTTTTAGACTCTTTTTTCTCGCACTTAACCCAAATCAGATGTGGTCCAACGCCTTAACTATCGTTTTTGTCATTGTCAGATGCAACTAAGAAGTCAAAAATACTTATAAAAGGGAATCACGTCCTTAGGTGAAAATTCTTTCAATGTTATATTAAGGACAAATATATTATATTTCAACATCTATTTCTTCACCGCTCATTTATTATAACAATCTGACCAGGAAGTGGCCAGATAAGCTGGATAGGATCCGCATTTTAACCATTTTGGTTTATTTCCTTTTCCTGTATTTTTTTTTTTCAGTTTCGTGTAGCGATGACAAAACTCTAAGAATATGGCAGTGTTATGAACCTGGAAATGAAGAAGGTATTTGTTTAACTCTATTACAGGGCGTGGTTGCATTGAGCGCATAAGTGCGAATTTACTTCAACCGTTACCGCCTTTTCTGCAGAAGAATTCGTCGTGCTCTCCGACTCTTGCGTTCAATTCCCTATACTATCTTATCCGCCATCGGCCTTGTTATCCGTGATACCGAGCGAAAAATCTTTCGGAACAAAGGAAATGCAGCCGCAGCAAGTTGCGTTGTGCACAACAAACCCTTCATAGCCAAAACAGAGTGTTTACCATTCACTTCCGCAGAAGAGCTACGATGTTAAGTTCTATGAATTTACTTCCCTCTTTCCTAGCCATATGCCCCATTACTTTTACCACTAACGATGGCATTTTTTTTGCCTGTGTTTACGTTAAATGAAGGTGTGCCAACCCACGGAAGTGACCCGAAATGGAAGACAGTCTGCGTCTTATCTGGCTATCACGACCGAACCGTTTATGATGTTCACTGGTGAGTTGTAATCAAACGTACTTTTCATATTCTTTATTCAGTCTGTGGCCCGCTGTTCTGTTAACCTCATGGTTGCAACCAAAAAACTATTGTTTCCACGGTTCAGATTTACTTTGTTGTGCGTTGACAACTGCGATGTAAAATGACGAAGTTTTAGGTTCTTTAGATAGAGGAGGTGAACGGCAAGACGATATAAATATTCCGACGTGGTTCCCTCTCTTAAGCTCCAACTTACTTTCCCAACTAATGCATAACTGAACGAGTTGAAATAATCACGAACAAGCTTAGAAGGGTACGAAGCGAGTTTCCAAAGACATTTTCACCAGTGTCACCGTTGTGCGGTATCTTAAGGTGCCTACCATTTCAAGAGTGACGAGTGAATGACAGATTCTGAAGACGTGTGAGGGTGTGGATGTGGAGAAAAAGAGAGAATCCTTCACTTCTTCAAAACTTCACCATGTTTACAAACGCAAAGGCTTACAACAGTGCAACAGATTTATGGGATCTGCCCAAGATTTTGAACTTTTGTAATTGTTTTTCTTATCTTAGGTCATTTGTCATTGATGCCATAGCGACATCTTCCGGAGATGACTGTATACGAATTTTTCAACAGGTGATTCACAATCAAATTGTTCTACAGATTTTTTATGTTTAGTACCTCGCAATTTAGGAAGCTTTTTTTTAAATCCCTACACTCGCGAATCATTCCTTTGCTGAACCCACCGAAACGTTTCAACCTTTGATTCTTTTAACTACTAGGCAACTTCTTGAGAAAGAAAAACGAAATAGTTCGATACAGAGTTATCTCGCAGACTAATTAATTACAGGCTGCTTTTTATTTATACATTTATCAAGGAGATAAATTGTTTATTTAATATTCATTAGGATCCTTCTGTTGGTGACAAAAATCAACCGACATTTCACCAAGTGGCCGTTCAAAGAAAGGTTTGTAGTAATTTCGTTTATATCCTGAGCATAATCCAGTCCAGCGTCTATGACAACCTGACTAAATTACTTTATAATCGTTTTATATAAGCTCTTACCCTTCTGGCCCCAGTTGTTCGGAAGGTGGATAGCGCTATCCACAAAATAAATCTCTATCCATTGAATAGCGCAATTAGTTTTCCAAATATTTATCCACTGGATAGTGATTTATCCAGTGGTTAGTGCTATCTATCTTTTCAACAACCGGGGCCAGGAAGTTTGCACGGTCCCCATTTTTATCTGAAGAGCTCGCTATTTTGATCACTTGTCTTCAAAAGATAATTACGAACTAGCTACATCTTCAGCAAAAAGGGGGCCGGGTAATTTCTTACAAATTTCCGACGGGGTAACTTGGATATGTAAGATTTAGAACAATTTTACATCTTCAATGTCTTACGTCAGCAGCATCGTCTTTTTAAACAAGTTTTTTTTTTCACTGAACCAAGTTGACCGAGATCCTCGAAGGAGTCAGTCTTTCATTTTTGAACTCGGCTTTGAAACGACTAGACGTAGCGTTTGGTTGTTTGCAATGTTTAGTAGCTCAATACGATATATTATCTGTTTTATGAATGACTAATTACAGAATAAAAAGTATAAACCGGATTCCTTTTTTCACCGCATACAGGCACATTCTCAAGACGTTAATGGCGTGAAATGGCATCCTAAAGAATCAGGTCTCTTAGCTTCATGTTCTGATGATGGTACAATCAACATGTGGAGATTTATACCACAGGATTAAATGACCTTCAACTACAATTCTGATTAATGCCTAGTACCCTGGAGATCATAGATTCAAATACGAGATTGATAGATGAAGACCGTACGGAAAACATTAGCCCGAGATCGGGGGTAGACGCTGGCGACATTCTCTGGGAATGTGTTTTCATACTCTAAGAAAGGACGAAGAAATTCAGAACAATGACGGTGAAATGTAAGCTTTTTAGCGGGCATTGTATTTGCAAGTTTCGCAGGTCACTGCAAACATCTCCGTTAGAACTCCCAAATATAAGATCCCACGAAAGTTTCACGTCTCTGGGTTTTATATAATATAGTGAAGTATTGGGGTAACTAATACCGTTTAAAGTTTGGCGCCTGCACACGGTTTAGTAACCCTGTCCGACTAATGATCTGGACAGTTTTCTGCACTGACACTATACTAGTCTGGTGAGCAGGGGGGGCACGAGGTAAACGAGGTGTGCCAGGGTGGAGGATACGCACGAGGGGACGCGCACATCCTCTTCCCTTGCGGCCGTCGCTCCTATTTACGCCATATTCTTCTATGCATGTACCGTGCCTACGTTCTGGGAAAGATAAATGGGAAATATTAAATGAATGCGTAGTATTTTTGGACCAGGATTTTATGGACATACAGTTGTAGAATAATTAAGAAATGGTAAACGTGCAGCGTGCAACCATGGAGTTATGGATGCACGCGGGAGGTTGCTAAGCACGAAAGAAGCGTAAGAGTCGCACGAGGCGATAGCCGAGTGCGACTCTAGCTTCTTGAGTGCTTAGCAAACCTCCCAAGTGCATCCATAACTCCATGGTTGCACAGCTGCAACGTTTACCATTTCTTTTATAACATAATCAAAAGAGAAAAAGATTATTTTCCATTTGCCTTCGGTTGAGTCATCGGTCCGAGTTCATGTATGGTGACATCTGCCCGCGCGTAAACAAATCATGTTCTATGTTTTTCAGAAACTTGCCTTTGAGTTTTTCTTTCGCTGAATCAACCGTTCTCCGTCCTCAGGTAAATTGCAAAACGTTTTTCGTTGTTATTCTGAATGGCATCTGTCTACTTGCTCTTAATATTAGGGTAAAAACTTTGAGGGAAAACTATAGCTGCAACTATAAACACCAACTAAAAAGACTCTAAAAAATAAGCTAAAACTAAATAAATGAAATAATTATCAAGCTTATTTATGTGACAATTTTTGAAATAAACGCAAAGTAGAAATGAGAAAATTTGACTGTAATTCCTTTAGAATAACAGGTAACACTAATTTTAAAAAGAAATTAACTAGCTTTGTATCGAAATCTGTCTGGGGAAATCCAGCTATGAAAGTCAAAGTTGAAACTGAAATTCGCCGACACACAGCCGGCGCTGAAGCTGTTGTTTTTCGACCGTTCTCTGAACGACTGTTATGAATGAACACTGAGGAACAAAATAATACACACAGAAGTTATTTTTTGAAAAATTTATTTGAAAACCCAAATGTTTCTGTACTCAAATGAAATTCGCTTATTCCAGCGTAATGTGCCCGTTTAAACTCAACTAAAATTTTTAATCGATGCGATGAAAACTTCACAACAAAGCTGTCTCGAATTTGAGCGTGTCTCCTAAAATATTTGCTTGAATTTAGCATCAGCTTGACCAAAAAGTCAATAACACAATGCTAATTGATAATTTTCCTTTCCAAACAGACTTTCTCTTCTATAAAAAACACACAAAATGTACCTTAAATCTTCGCTCGCTCGATTTTCCTTCAGCAGATTCTAGCCGCGAGGAAAACAGTGATTCATTCATCCCGGGCAAATTTGTCGCTTGATCTTTTGTCTTTTTTCCTTCAAAACGACAGCTTAGTATTTTCTTCAACTTCCACTTTTCATCTGTGCATTTCATCGGTGTATTTTACCGTCAGGAGAGGAGATTTGTTGAATTTGCCTAAATTTTCCCGCGCTAGCTCAGTTTCTTAGCGTGCACCCACGGGAAAATGGTAGTGGCTGACTGACCAATCAGAGCGCGCGATTTAGTTTTGTTATGTTATAATTAAATATAGCGCTATTTCAGAACTTTGTGATAGGGTTTAACTAAGTACCAAATAAACGTTATTAGGTACTGATCGATTTCATAAACGTTATTAGGTACTGATCGATTTCACTGTTCAAGTTATCAGCTTATAATCGGCTGACAAAATAAGTAGTAGTATGACCTAAACTTGTGCCTTTTTCTGCTTTTTTGAAATCGTTGGTTTGTTTATGCAAAGCCTCTCAGAGTTCTTCCGGGGTGGTCGCCAGAGAGACTCTACTTACAACTTGTGACGAGCTTGTTCCTCTTTACCCCTGGATTTCTTCGGTGAACACTGATTCCATGTCCTCAGCAGCCTCTGCCTTGGCGCTTTTCCCTTTCGGAAAGCTGCTGATTCTCGCTTTCATGGTCTGGATTATGTGTTGAAAGATTTCGGTGGCAGTGTTGACTCGGAAACTCAGTCTTGGGTATTGCAGAGTTCAAGTTCTGTATTGACAGACCCCAAGGGTGAGTCGAGAAGGTTGTGATTTTCGTTTATGAGGGGTGTAACAGCATCTGGTGATAACCTGAAAGAAGAACAAGTTTACCTAAACCCCCCCGCCCCCTCCCGCCTTTAAGGTATAGGAAGCATCCTACAACGTTTCATCTTGCTTAAGGTCCCTAATTAGCGATGGAAGTAATCGTTGGTCTGACGTCAGACTTAAGGGCTTTCGTGTTTACAATGTAGAGATTCCTCCAGCGATTTTAAGTCCTTGGCATTCCCATTGCCTGCAAATATTCAAATAAATTTTCGCTCAATTCTTACGCTTTTAGCGACAGGCGGCGAATTCAGACGCTGAATAAATGTAGTGGACCCTTAGGGTGGTTTTCCCCTGTCGCTATTTTCTCGCATACGATCATGCTTAACGACGAAGCCTCCAAAACACTATATATTTCATTCCTGCAGTTGTTGTTTGACTTTGTCGATGTTGCGTGGGTTGAAGCTCACAAGGGTGTTGCAAAGAGCTCAGAACCGAAAATCCACGAAGGCGTTTTGGTTTTTAAGTGCTCAGATAATCTGGTACCGAGGTGTCTTAGTACTCTACAAGAAAAAGGGCTTTGCACGATCCTGGTACTGGAAGAACGAAAAAACCTGGGCCAACCAAAGCCTGAACGCAATATTGGCAAAATAACTTTTCAAGTAGGCGGGGAGACCATAGTACTATTCACCCTTTGTCAGTATTAAAAGCGCCCCGTCCCTACATACTTAAAAAATTATGATGAGTAAGCATTTTTAATTCATAACATTTATTTCTTACTATCTTACACAACTTTTTTTATGTATTTCCATTTCTACTGCTACTACCACTTGAGACTCATTATTATCACATTTAATGAATTCGACTGACTATTTTATGAATATTCATGACCAGTAATTTCATTCATCTTAACACGCTTTGAATTGAAGTACAAACCTATCTCCGGAATAACTACTCCTACTTACATCAATCATTTTTAAACCATTTGTAATGATTGAATTTTTTTATCTTTTCTTTTTTTTAAAGTTGTTACAATCAGTTGATTAAAGAATTAAGAATTAAATGCGGGTGACTTTTGCAATACAGTAATATCTTGTTAAAGTCATCAGTGCAAAATTAAGCTTGTTGTAATCTTGTTTATAATTTATTTAGGTTTTCTTATCATTTCTTCTTGTACTTTAGGGAATTTTAAAATGGTGTAGATCTTTGTTTCCCATGATCCTTTGAATACCAGCCTCGTGGCTGAATAGGCTACCTTGGTTACATAACATTGCTTACTTACTGATTTACTTACTCACTAAAATTTAAAGGTAGAGAAGTTATGACGTCACAAAAACTAAATTTAAGAAGTTATTGAATTTTACGATCCATGTTGATTTTAGGAGGATTATATGGAGTCAGCATAGCATAGCTTTGCTTAATCTTACCCTAACTAGCTGATTTTTGGCACGATGGACAGCCTCCATCTTTCTGAATATCTCAGTCAATCCCATAATTTTTCCTGAATTTTCTCCAAATCATTATTATTTGGAATGTAGTTCTCGGTTTCTGATTGGCTCAAATCCCAAGGCTAATTCTTCATAACCACTTAGCGTTGACCAAATTTGGAGGACGTTTTGCGATGTATGGAAAATGACATCAATATAAGTATAGCATAAATGTGAGAATAATGAACGGCAACTCAGAAGCCCTGGAGTCGAGGTTGTCGTTGTTTCGGGAGAGCAGTACAAGAATGGCGGATTATTTCACACGTTTTGAACTGAAGACGAAATAGCCGAACCACTACCAAAAACAGCAAGAATACCAACTAGATATTTACTATTTGGAGAATATCTGCAGAACTGATCATCCCTTTATCTCCTGAACTTGCAGAGAAACAGGCAAATGAAGAGGGGAACTTAACATCGATCGAGGTAAGCATGTTTTAGCTTGCTTTTAAACCGGAAATCAATAACAAATGAAACAGTTATTGGATTCGGCTTTCGTACGATCTGAAGAATTATGGAGATCTCGATCTTCATAACCCTTCAGATCATACTCAGCCTCATTCAACAAATGCTTAAAATGGAAATTTTTGTGACGTCACACTTCTATACTAATTTACTTTCTTTACCTATGCCCCACTTACTTACCTCCTTGACAGGGATCAAACTCATAAAAGCGAATCTCATAACAAGAGAATGTAAGTGCGATAATATGTATTCCCTCCTTTCCTGCATTACATTTGCTGGTACATTTTTCATTCCTTATTGCTGTTCCTGTTTATTTTTACTGGTTAGAATATAATCTTTGGTATCTAGAGGCCAAGTAAACTAATGTTATCTAGTTGTCCCCTAGTTACATGAATATTTACATACACCCTAATTAAATCTAGTAACTACACTACGTGTACTTTAAATAACAAATAATAGACTGAACAAATTCTTGTATGTAATAGAACAACTACAAACAGAACTAAATAAACTAAAAGAGAGAAAAAGAAAAAAACAAAACAAAACTGGAAGAAGTGAAAGTGAATTAAAGTATGAAAGTATGGCGGACTTGAAAGGAGTGGATAATGTAGATAACAATTTTTATAAACTAAGCCCATAAGACATATGTATGTCTATATATTCAGATATATTCAGATTACTCCTGTCCTGTCAATTTTAGGCGGCATAATGAGCGTTTGAAATGTAAAGTAAAGGTTAAGTAAAATTTAGCTAAGGTTTCAGAGACACGTCAGCCATGACCGGAGGCACGTGGAAGTTGAGTGGAATGATGACAAATTGGGACAGCTTAGTTTATGGCAAAGTGCAATGGACCGTTGTTACAAATTTGGTTCATCACAAAGTACGATGGAATTGTGACAAATTGCGACAGCTTAGTTTATTACAAAGTGCAAAGAACTGTTGCTGAAAATTTTGACAGATTTGTTACAAAGTGCGACACGGTTTATTACAAATTGCGACAGGTATTGCAAAGTGCAATGATTATTAGAACTATGAATGCGAACGTACATGCATATTATTACACTATAAAGTTCTGAAGCACATTTCGACGGAATCATCTCTATTAACTGACCATTGACGAGTTTGACAAGTTATACACCAAAATAGGTTTTGACTATTTTCTCATACCCCATAAATCCTTTCCTTCAACCCCCACCCCCACCCCCACATTTTGCACAAATTCTTGTTTTCAAATGCTCTATGCATACAATTACTTTTTTCACTAACAGGGCAAATAATCATTGACCGAGCCGAGAACGCCTAGGAACTAGGTTGTGTTATAGGGGGCCGACCTGCACCTATTCCAAACAAGGTTTGTAATTGACTGGGAAAACAATAGGGATGGTGACCTAACAATGCCCCCATCCCTGAAAACAATAGACAGTGCAGGTTATAGGCACCAATGGCTGAAATAAGAGGTAAATGGATGCATGCAGGTCAACCGGGTGTTTTGCCGACTTCCGTGACCTGTGATCACTGCCAATCGAAAGTTTTACGCGAGGTACCTTACAGGGACCGCGGAGACCATTTTAAAGTCGTAGGGCTAAAAAATCTTGCCAATACAAAGAAACATTAAGTTCAGTGTTTCGCCATTTATCTTGCATTTGCGTAGACTACGAGCAGTCTCTCTTTAATTTTCTCTTGGTCCGTCGAGCAAAACGCCCGAGACACGCTCACAGGCGCGTGCTCTCCCCCTTGAAATCTCAAGAAAAAGATAGACTGTTCGCAGTCTAGCATTTGCGCGCCATCTTATTTACAGCCTCAACAAATATAACATAAACGTCGTCACGTGTTATAGTATCCAGTATAGCCAATATGTTGAATAAACCTTCCTAAAATAGCTACTTTGAAGTTGTCAGCAGTGCCGAAATTTCTCTTGCGGTCCTCATTGCTGGAAACAAACTCCTGTGCGACGTCAGCTATAGAGACACTGTCTGTTCTCAGCTTGTAACCATTCAACGTTACTACTAGGTTGCTAAACCTCTCATCACCCATCCTGGATCGACGCCACGTCTTCAGACGCCGTACGTACGGATGAGCATGAACCCTCGCCAGCAGCGCTGGTAATAGGATTTACAGCAAGCAGCTTACAGATAGTTTAACTGACTTCCTGAATTAGCTTCTTTTCTGGTTCTGGAAACTTTAGAACCGCTAACAGGATTTCGTCAAAACATGATATCTTCTCCTTCTTCCATAGTACTTAATTGCCTAGGTAGCGCCCCTGTATCGCAGCATCTTCCCTGTATTATGTTTCAAGAAACTGAACTCTGCTCATAGTCGTCACCATTAGCTATAGCAGCTTTAAGCAAGAGGGTCTCCATCTGGGCTTAAGAGCTGAAGCTTTCCTGATTAACGCTCTGATAGATAGTCCTGACGATAAGATCAATAGCCTCATAACAGGCCCGTACAAAGTGATCTTTAGCAGTTTGGGGATAGCTTGGTGCACCAGTACCAACCTTCAGTCTGGCCGGAGTGTGTCGTTTTCTCGGAAGCGTTGGTTCGCCAAGCAGGCCTTCACTCTTGCGGGCAACATTAGCATAGAAATGGTCGAAGCTTTGATCAATGCGAATTTTTGTGAGCGACCCCTTTGTTAGATTTGCCAGGCGTTGTCCACTGACAGCACCCATCTTAGTACCCTGAAGATTAGATTATCGGTGTGGCAATAAAGGTGCTCTCCAAGATGCAAAGCAGAGAAAAAGGCAAATCACTCCATTTGGGCCTTACATCGTATTATCCTTGCGCGCACATCGGGTTGTCATCGTTCTGACAAGCAAACATCCCACTCTTCCATAGGGCAAAGTCCAATAATTCCAAGGAAATTTTTTCCATGTCAACTGGAGTCCTATGAAATAAATCCCAGCAATAAAAGTGGTAGGGCTATAGCCCTACCAGCCCCTCCCCCTCCGCGGTCCCTGCCTTAGCGAGCTTGAAGATGAAAAACAGCAGCATTTTGTCTTTGCCGACGTATAAATAATAACAGGAGAGCTTTCCTGTACTCGGGCATTCTTATTGTGTAAACGACGGGATTAACAAACGAGTTTGTGTAAAATAAAAGCAGTAAAGACAAATTCAATCGCATTATTTTTGTGTAAGAAAGTGATCGAATGCTATCAGTTGTATGGAAAACAAAGGTAGCTATAGCATATGGTATCCACAACAGTAACGATACAATAGTCATGATGAGTAACGTGACAGTCAGTTTTCTTTGCCTACGGGCTGCACCACGGTGCTGAGGACGCGCCCCACAACAAATTTTGACAATCACTGAGGCGTAACAAGCACAGATAACAAAAAGACATAATAAGCAATATGATTGCCATAAAAACTGAGTGTGTGACCATTCTTTGCCGAATAACTGAAGCATGCTAATTGCAGTTGATATCATCCCAGCTAAAACCCACACCACAGAAATTGTTACTCCGTAGACCCATTTTTTGATAACGCGATGCCTGAATGGACGAAATGTTGCATGCATCCGCTCTAACGAAATTACAGCCATGTTTGTAAGAGAGGTTAGAAGAAACCAATATAAAAGAAACCAATTTATCATGTACCCTTCCCGAGGTATCCTTACAATCACTACAGTTTTGCATTCAATGTATGTATTAATTAAGAGCAGATTTATAGTAAAATGTCCTCCAACCAAAATGTCAACTACGGTCAAGTTTATAACCAAGTACATGCCACGAGTGCGAAGATTACTGTTTTTTATCAAAAGAATGATTGATAGGAGATTCACTGTTACTATAGCAACAGCCACGCCAAGGAATGCAGCAAACCAGGTAATGCACTCGGATGAGGAAAACATCGTGGATTTTTCTTTTCGCTTCCCACCTTTTAATTCTCGTCTTCTTTCAGGCTCGGCTACCTATGAAAAGAATTCCCTGGGTAAGCAAGGGTTGCTTAGTTGGAAGAGAAAAGTTAACAGGTGAACTTTAAAGAATGACTTCAAATCCTCAAAGATCTGCAATGGAGATATATTCAAAGGGCGCTCACCTCAATCCTACTTAAGCTATTCCTTGATGTCGTCACAAAAATTGAATCAAAAGTCTTGCTTTCACCTTTGGAAAAAAAAACAAAAGTAGCGCTGAAGGTTAGAGTAGGATGAATTTGTTGGGAGAAAATATGGCCAAAAAAGTTATATTCAACCTCGGTTTATACTGGAGCTGAATATTTTACTTACTTATTAAAGGTAAACCTAAAAAAGTCGGCGCTGCTTTGTATGAATCACTAAGTCAGGAATTCAGTGTCACCAGTTGTAGCAGTGTCATGAAAATGATCACCATTAAACGTCCTCTGAGATCATCAGATATCAAGAGTGAGGCGAGAGAAAATATTGCATCTTAGCCTGAGAAACAGCCGACATTAAGCGACGCTACCACTGGTTTCCCCGCCAGATGACGTCTGAGAAACGGGCGCAGAAATTTCATATGGAAATAAACTCGAGCTTTGCTATTTTTGTTGACTGACTCCGATAAATGGGCTCGGTGACAAATCGCTTGTACCTAACAAAAAAGTGAAAACTTTACGACGACAGCGATGATACGTGATTATAATTTTGTTTCTTAGTAACCACACTGGGGCTTGACGACGATTTCTTAGAAACTAACCTCTTTATTCATTAGTTAAACATTTTTTTTAGGAAGCCTAGTCGGTGTTGAACAAAACCGCCAGCCAATGGCTCCTCATGAGATCCTGGTAAAGCGCTTGCGCTGGCCCGGTTTTCGAGATCTCGCCTCAATATCTTTCGTAAAATTGCGATCTGACTGCAAGATCAAGAAAAGACGGCCTATCTTGGGATCATGAAAATATGAACATTCCATCTCCGTTACCAGGACGAACTTTTTTCAAGTATGCGTGCGACTTCCTTGAAAGAAAGCGAGTTCAGCACCATTGGGAACTGAAACTGGCAAAGGAAACCATAACTTTTCTAACGTCGTGCGCGCTTTACACCTTACTTTAAAGTGACGGGAAGACTACCTTTCCTTTATTATTTATTTCAATCAGCCGTCGGCCACTCCAGCAGAACTCAAAACAGTTTTTACCTCGAAACGAAACATCGACGGCCAATTATCTTTCCCCCATGCGGCCATGTAATATTCTCTATTTTCTGCGTGAAACAACCCACATATGCAAATATCTCAAGATTCACAGATTGTCGTGAGCCATATATATACTTCCACTTTCAATCGGCCTTCGACAAATCGACCCTTTTGATCGACAGTATGCAGTGATTATTCTCCGCAGTCTGTCTCGCTCTCAATTCAGGCGAAGAAACTGCTACTAGTAATCGATGTTATTTGCTCTACTGTTTTAAGCTCTGTTTATCTAACCATGCATTTATAAAGCAACATATTCTGCCTGGGGGGTTAACGGGGCTTAAATTTATCATGAAGGTTTGAAGAGCCGGGGGCCAAGTCATCATATTATCTAAACGTTCTTCGTTGCAGTTAAGATCATGTTTGTTGCTGATGAATGCTTCCTTATTCAATCAGCCTTCCTCCTCGAAAAATCTACCCTTTTTGATCGACACCTACAAGGGGGCCATTGTATTTCTCAGCAGCCTACCATTTGGGGACCCATGCAGCCTAAAGCTGTATTAGTACTGAGTAAATGGTGTTCTTCGTTGTACTTTGTTGCACCATCTGTTCAACATACAAGCAAATTTAACAAACAATTTCACTGAATGAATAATGTGCACTGGTAGACCTTTCACTCCCAGAAGTCGCCGAAGTCAATTCGACAAGAATTCCGAACCTTCCGTTCATGGAACAAATCGTACCAAGTTAAAATACTGCTGAAAGAAATTCATTTGAATGGTCACCACCCTATATTTCATAGGCTTGCAAACTCAAAAGTTAGAACCACCATATAAGATCCCATTATTAACTCTGGGAGTGAGACGCGTCTCTCGTTGATCAATCAAACAGTGTTAGAGTTTTTGCGGTAACAAAAGAATTCTCCAAATACAATGTAGCAGCTTCAAAGTCCACTGTCTTCTAGATGCGAATCTAAGCACCTCTTTAAATTCACCCCTTAAACTGTTCAGCAACTTCACGATTCGAGAACTCTGCTACCTACTAGAAGAGTTTGCAGTTTCCTTAGTTTTATCTTAATTGTTCTCACCATTCCACCTAAATTATACCGCGCAGCTAAAACATTTTGTTTTTTCACCGAGTTCTCTGCTTACTGGGGTCCTTTCTTACCTTTTTGACAAGTACTGTCCTGGTTGACTGATCTGGAAATGAGCTGAGTGCAAGGACGTTTGTGCTCAATTCGGACACTGATCGCCTCAAATAATGGCCTCTTTATATAAACGAGATACCGGTTTGCTGAAAAGTGTTCAAATATAATATTCTTTGCTTAGTTCCAGGGACTGGTTCCCTTTTCTTCATTTGCCACCTTCTTAATAAGCAGCTCGAAAGTATGAAGCTAAGTTTTTGTTGTAGACAGTTTCAGCGCCGTGTTATTACATGAACAAATGTTAACTATGAACTGCTGTTATACTCATCGTTATCTGACCCAACGAATCGAGAACACAGGTGCAAGTTAGAGGAACGGGACACTGTCAATGTCAATATTGAGATAGCTATAACGAGTTAAGATTAATGGAAGAAGCCCATACGCCCACAGGCGTCTTTATCTTATGAATTAATATTAATATCTTATAATAAAGTGGTTTCAACGCCACAGCTAATTGAAACATTTAAAATTGCAAAGTACTGTTTGTTGTGTTTAAAAAAAAAAAATGTGTGGCCGGGCAAAATGGCTACTTCTTATATTGAAGAAACGGCTCAGCTGGTTCTCCAATTTTGTTGTTGTTGTTGTTCTTGTTGTTGTTGTTTTGACAGATCAAACAACTGAAACAACTTTATTTGTATCTAGTAATTTACAGATGATAATAATTTGCAAAAAAATTTAAGTATAGATCCGGCAACTTGATCAGTTTCATTGGTTTATAATAGTGGCTCTGTTGTTCGGTTTTTAAAAGCTATCTTGTTCAGTAGCGTTTTTTGCATGCATTAGTGCGTGTACTTATAATCACTCAAATGCGGATTTTTAGTCATCAAGGCTTTCTTTAATGAGCATGTGTTCTAGAGAAAAACAGAAATTCACCAGGACATTTGATGGCAAATACCCACGGAAAAGACAGGTGTTTGTTAGACCATGCAGTAGCACCAGTTTGATGAAAATGAAAATTTTTGACCAAAGACAGCGGGCACCTTGTTCATGCGTCGCTGAAATTGGGTGGCCATTTAAAATGACACCATATCTATTTGGCAGTTAACAGTTGCTCCCTTATTTTACAGTCTTGTCAGTCCTAATGGACAAGAAATGTTAACATGCGTTTATCTGGTCACATTAAAAAGAGGCGACTTTTTAAAACATTCAGCTGTAAAAAATTGCGTCAATTTGACTACCTCGTTTACTTAATGTTATTCATCAAAGAACTTAAGCCTACTCAGAGAGACTCCTGTGAGCACTTGCTTTTATTGTATATTTATAGGTCATAATCATACTGTATTCTTTTACCTGATAATGAAGCTAGATCCCAATTCACTTCCTCTAGAAAAAAAATTGATTTTATTTTAATTTTGCTTTTGCACTAGGATTTTTTTTTTAAAAAAGCTAGTAATTCATCACAGGAGCCCATAACCCAGAGCGAGCGACTCCCATACTAGACCTATTGTCAAAGAGTTTTTACGGACTAGTTTATTTTTAGACACAATTTAGGACACCTTTTCCCGCGAGAATAGAACCTCCACCATGTCTATGGGCGCATTCGAAGTATAAGATATCACAAAGGAAAACTAAACTTTATTAAAAGGCAAAAAATATCACTTTTAGGTCTGTAGGTTTTAGTGTATGGTTTGTGGAATTTAAAAGATATTCAAAATTTGCACCACAACCGTTCAAAAAATAAACTGGTCCGTGAAAACGCTATGACAAGAGTGCGTGGAAGTTGCTCGCTCCAGTTCATCACACATGATCGATTTTCCTTTAAATTATTTAAGTCAATGAAATCTGGAAATCGACCTGCGCTATAACTTTTAATTTTCTGAGAATTATGAAAAGCTTCAAATAATTTATATTTACATAGTTCATTAGTTCAAATTCATTCATTGTGTACATTTCCAGTAATTGTTAATTTTAGGCATCCTCTCTTCCATCGATAAAATGAGTGAACAATGGCAGTAATTTAAGTATTCTCTTTTCCTTCATTAAAATGCGTGTAAATTTATAACAGTTGAAACCGTTGAAACACAAACAAAGATGTCACAAGAAATTTGCACGATAACAATTTTTGTGTTAGAAAAATGTTTAAAAATCTCTCCTCCACATTTCACAATGTTCAGTTATTTGATCCAATTCTTAAACCTCAGTTGAAACCAAAATGGCATAAAACAAGAAGCTAAATATTTATTTGAAAATTAGAATCATATGAAGGGGTATGATTTAGAAGCAGGTGAACTCTAATGAAGAGAGTCGAAGACCTGAAGACTGTTTCAAAAACAAACAAAATGTTAAAAGAACTTTTTATGGGGAAACCGCCAGCTTCTTTTAAAGACGATTTTTTTTACTTCTCTCTTATATTTACATTATCAAGGCGGTGGTACTTCCTTAATATAATTACCAAAAATCCCACCTGCTTAACTCAAATTAACCCTCGGACGTACACGCAAAGTCATACCCCAGGCTACCCCTACCGTGGTACAAGGGGGGTGATGGGACCCCTCCCTAGAGGTTTTGATATGTTGCAGTATTTCGGAAAGATTTTACCGTCAGTGGAAAGCCTTTGATATTTTCGGATAAGATGAGGTATATTTTATGGGTGGTCATGCTGCTGGAGACCTGTGACGTCACCAAACATGGTCGCCATCTTGGATTTTACCAAGAATAAGTAATCAGGTAAAAACGGGGAGAATTGGTAATTGTTTGTGCTTGAAATGTGAAATGACACATGCTTCTTTTTATCCCCAAGCTTTACTTTTATCGTTGAAAGAAGTTGAAAAACAGGTTTTTACTCAAAAATTGACCACCTGCTACTTATGACGTCATAACTTGTAACCATAGCAACTGATCATCACTAAACTTGTCTCAGTTTCCATGTGCGTCCGAGGGTTATAATGTTCACTGACGCACGTAAGTCGTCTCTAATGGCTAAAAGGCACTTAGCACCGAACCCTCGAGCTGTTTACTTTACTTTACTAATTTTCTTTCTTGAATTTCGCCTTTAAGAATCCTGGGTTGTCTAGTCAAAAAAGAGCAAGGCGAGCAATATAAAAATTATAAAGTATTGGCGTCGTCAAAACAGAATTTCCTACAATACCAGGCAAAATTGCACTCGAAATCATGTTGAGTAATCGATCCTCAGAAGATGATAACTGGGCTACTTTATCGAAAATGATTGGCTAATTGTTCCAATGAACTAACTACGGACATGATCGGAAAATTCAGGGCACAAATTAAATAAATGCCGCACGCAGGTCAAGCTAGTCTGCGTTGCAGTCGTCTAATGAGTTTTAACACTGGGTAGAAATTGCAACAAATTAAATGTTAGTCTTAACAGTAACCTGAGAATTACGGGATATCCCATATTATTACTACTTCATGTATTTTTTCATACCAACTAAATGAGTTCACCCGACTGACACGAGAAAATGAGATAAAAATTGTCTAAAATAACGATAACAAAGGTTATTTCGTTGAAATTGTAGACGAAAGGTCAGGATTAGGCTAAAATATATATCAAACCATGCTATGCTCCCTAGACAAGATTTTGTTGAGAACATTAATGAAGCATATTTTTTCGACAAGAAAGGTAATTACGGAAGCTTATTAAAATAGAACCCGAGTTGTTTTACATCGAATTCATGACAGTAAAAGGTTTAGGTTAATTGCTTTATTAATTTAGTGGCCATTCTTTATAACACCTATAATTACATCCTCCAAAACACCATCCCAGACCCCAAGTTAACTAATCAAATAGTATATGAACACCTAAGAGTGTGCCTTTAATTTTAATCATGCCGGAACTGAGTTAGACATAAGTAAATTTCAACTGAAACTTTCTTTGCTCGCATTTTTATTGTTCAACAAGGAAAATAATTAAGGGGTCAATTGTGGTCCCCTCGGGTTTTAGTTATATCACTTCTTAGCAATTAGTTTTTACAGATTCGATAGTGCATTAGCCATTTTCTGGTAAAGAGGGTCATATGACGTCTCGTCGGCCAAATTGATGTGCCAAAACGGTGGCCATGTTGGTGTTCCAGTAAAAGCTTTCTTTTGTTCCAACAAATTTACATAGCCTGTTAGCCAGGTGAGTGAAAATGTTCCATAGCTTAATTTCCTTTGAATCATATAACAGAGACCGTTAAAGAACGAACATTGTCCACGCATTACAGGTGTTAAAAAACTGTCGACCATTGGGGGGCAGTCCGAAGCAGCCAAGATGAATTTCAGTAATTCGTCAGCCAACAAGGATGCTGCCGCTAGTTGTCGCCTGACGAAAAAGCAAGACAGCCTCGCTGCTCTGCCTGTTATCGCGATCAATTTAGGATCATGTCCCGTTATCATCCTTATGAACACGTTAGTTATCTTTGCGATAAAAACACGGCGGCCATTGCAGTCTAACTACAACATATTACTGGCCTGTTTGGCGGCAACAGACATGGTAGTCGGCTTGGTTTCACAACCACTATTCATCGCACAAGAAATTTACTATCTCTCAGGTGCATCGCTGGCGGATTATTGCGACTTTTACAAAACGGCAGTCTTCTTCTATATGTTTCCAAGTGTTGAATCGTTGCTGATGTTAGCTTTACTGAGTATCGAGCGTTTTATAGCTATGAAATACTCACTTAGATATTCTAGCCTGGTGACCACATCTAGATTAACGATTGTTGTATTTTGTAGTTGGATTATTTCAGTTATTCCTGTAATTTTTCATCCAATACCAGCAACACATTTATTTGCCAAATGGTTTATTTATGTAACCGTCATGCCAGCCATTCTAATTATCGTATACTGTCATACAACAGTATATTTTGTTTCACGCCGACATATGAAGCGGATAAAAACAGAACAGCTTCCAAGCGAAGGGAAGACTAAATTCTTAGAGGAAAGGAAAGCCTTTAAAACCACAAGTATAATTATCGCCCTCGTGTTTCTTTCGTACGTGCCAATACTTACGTACGGAATATTGAAAGATATCTTGCGCGATATAGTTTTGTCTTGTGTTTTTCTAAACTCGCTTCTTAATCCCTTTGTTTACTGCTGGAGAAAGAAAGATCTCCGTAAAGTCATAGTGGAACCGCTTAACATCAGACAAAATGGAGGGGGATAATCAAGAACAACGAAGACGCTTTTCAGCTGCACTGGCTGTCTACTTTTAATTTTGGAACATGTTAGACGCTTTTTGTAGTTAATTCTGCTTTTCATGTTCATTTGTATTTGTTCTTAAGTTCAGTGGCACCCAACGACTTTTTAACTGCCAAGAAATTTCTAAAGCTCAAGAAAGGTTCGCCTTTTCGTTCGTCTAAGATGTTTGGAGGTGTTTTACTACAGTTTTTCTCAGATTTTATTATCAAGACTATTGCCATTATTGTTGAAAAGCTCCTCCTAAAAAATTTAGCATGAAGACAAAACGTCCCCTAGAATTTTCAAACGAAAGTCAGATGGCTGATCCATGTCCTCTAACTTTCGACCGGACCCATCAGGCTAGCTAACAGTTTCAGATGAGACGAAAATGCCACCTTAAACTTTGGAGACGGCCAAAGTTCACTTCCGAGCCAATAAATAATTCTTAGGGAAGCTCCAAATTAACCAAACTGACTTCTAAAGCGTAGAAAAACCATTTGGGACGCTACCGACGTATTTAGAAACATTCGGTCTTTGGGTTCTCCTGATATAATGCTACTAAGAATATAATGGAGTGTCTGAATGGGAGTGACCAGAGTCAATTAAAAAAACACTATGTGTTAAAACACTTAATGTTTTGGCTCTGTAACATATATGAAACAGTTAAATTTTGCGCATTTTGACACTAACAGTAATAAAATTTCACTGAAACAGTATTTTTTTTAGAAAGCAGAGAAAGAATTAAATAAAAACGTTAGAAAGCAGAGAAAGAAATAAAAAAAATAAACTATGTGGTTTATTGGTGTTGAAGTAGTAGAGCAAGAGACGAGTGCACCCCCTCCTAAAAAAAATCCTGGATCCGCCCCTGTCTGTGGTGGTTAGTGTTCGTAGAATAGTTTGCCTGCGTCCTCCTTAATACTATTTGCACGGAAAGAAATACAACTGGCATAACTAGGTTGCCGGTCAACGACAAACGAGTTGAAGCGAACCTTATCCCTGAAATGAAGTATCCTACCTCACTCTGATGAGCCTGTCAAGGAACATTCCAGCTTTATAGGAGGAGTACCCGTTGCGTACTATACTACTCCCTTTCATCCTTAAAAGGAAACTTCAACAGCAAAGCTTTCTTTTTGTTTTTAATATTCAAGCTCAGCCTAGAGCTTAAGCATTTTGTTGACCGTGTGAAGCCGGAAACCGACGCCGCGTTGTCACAGGAAGCATTGGGTGAGAGGGTGAGAGTATCCAGATCACCGCTCACGCTCGGATTTCAGGATTAATCTTGCCGAAAACGCTAAACCTTATTAAAACAGGATGATGTGGAAGGAATGGCCACCACAGGCAGACGTAACCGTACGAGACAAGAATCGCTCAGAGAGAGTGCTCTATAGTTATGAATTATGAGTTTAGCATAACTGTCTAGGGTTTCTCTGTCTACAATTTGTTAGTGAAAAGCTCTCGGCGAAGAAGCAGCATGTGACTTGTTTGATATTCCATACCGATTCCACTTAAGACTGCATATGAAAACTTAATTTTTGTCCGTTTTTTAACTCTTACCCGAGCATTTTGCGTCTTGCAAGATAAGAAACATAGTGGCCACCCTGAAGACATGGCCAACTTAATGCCCTCTTGACAAAGTGACCGTTAAGCATAGGCGTAGCCTATTCCAGGCGTTCAGATAGTGGGGAGCGGTGCGAAGTAAAAGGAGCGCGAAAAAATATGAACGCTTGGAACAGGCTAGCATAGGCGAAGACAATAAAAAGATAGCCTGTTCGGACCATGGGTTTGACAATAATTATGGGAAATGTTTTTCGAGACTTTAGTAAGTGAGCACATAACAAAGGATTGCCTTGTAATACAGGCTTGACTGTGTCTTCAGTTTACTGAATTGTCCCAAAATTTTCAGCGGTTTCACTGCAAATATATTTTTGAACATTTGACGTCATTTCCGTGATTCATAAGAGGGTTGTCAATAGAAAATTGTGGTCGGTTTCTTGTTAGTTAAGCATGTGGTCTGAGGTTTAATGATAGTGACGATGATACCTACAAGGGTATAGTAAAGAGCATTGATAACGTGACGTTGTGTGTTCTTTCAATTTGCAGGTCTTGTTTTGATACTTTAGAAGGTCACGAGTCTACAGTGTGGGCTATTAGTTTTGAGAAAACTGGAGACAGAATGGGTTGGTACCACTGAGGTTTCGGTCAGTTATCACAGCCGCACGTTTTGATATGTGGAATACTGCGTTAGAATTGCTGTGATACATTTATTTCCACCTTTTTTTCAAAGGATATAAACAACAGCTTTTGACAGAAATCTTTTAACAAACAACAGCTGTCACTCAGTCTACCTTTGGGGTTCTTCATGTAAATTTTCATATTGTTTTTAAGTTAAACATCGTTAAAGACAGTTCTCTCGCAAAAAGAGTACACGTTTAAGCTTTTAGACACTTTTTTTTTTCGCACTTAACCCAAATCATAAGTAGTCTTACGCCTTAACTATCGTTTTTGTTATTGTCAGATGTAACTAGGAAGTCTAAAAATACTTATAAAAGGGAATCATGTCCTTAGGTGAAAATTCCTTCAATGTTATATTAAGGACAAATATATTATATTTCAACATCTATTTGTTCACTGCTCATTTATTGTAACAATCTGACCAGGAAGTGGCCAGATAGGCTGGATAGGATCCGCATTTTAACCATTTTGGTTTATTTCCTTTTCCTGTTTTGTTTTTTTTTTTTTTCAGTTTCGTGTAGCTATGACAAAACTCTAAGAATATGGCAGTGTTATGAACCTGGAAATAAAGAAGGTATTTATTTAACTCTATTACAGGACGTGGTTGCATTGAGCGCATAAGTGAGAATTCACGTCAACCGTTACCGGCTTTTCTACAGAAGAATTCGTCGTGCTCTCCGACTCTTGCGTTCAATTCCCTATACTATCTTATCCGCCATCGGCCTTGTTATCCGTGATACCGAGCGAAAAATCTTTCGGAGCAAAGGAAATGCAGCCGCAGCAAGTTGCGTTGTGCACAACAAACACTTCGTAGCCAAAACAGAGTGTTTGGCATTCACTTCCGCAAAAGAGCTACGATGTTAAGTTCTATGAGTTTACTTCCCTCTTTCCTAGCCATATGCCCCATTACTTTTACCACTAACGATGGCATTTTTTTTGCCTGTGTTTACGTAAAATAAAGGTGTGCCAACCCACGGAAGTGACCCGAAATGGAAGACAGTCTGTGTGTTATCTGGCTATCACGACCGAACCGTTTATGATGTTCACTGGTGAGTTGTAATCAAACGTACTTTTCATATTCTTTATTCAGTCTGTGGCCCGCTGTTCTGTTAATCTCATGGTTGCAACCAAAAAACTATTGTTTCCAAGGTTCAGATTTACTTTGTTGTGCGTTGACAACTGCGATGTAAAATGACGAAGTTTTAGCTAGGTTCTTTAGATAGACGAGGTGAACGGCAAGACGATATAAATATTCCGACGTGGTTCCCTCTCTTAAGCTCCAACTTGCTTTCCCAACTATTGAATAACTGAACGAGTTGAAATAATCACGAACAAGCTTAGAAGGATACGAAGCCAGTTTCCAAAGACATTTTCACCAGTGTCACCGTTGTGCGGTATCTTAAGGTGCCTACCATTTCAAGAGTGACGAGTGAATGACAGATTCTGAAGACGTGTGAGGGTGTGGATGTGGAGAAAAAGAGAGAATCCTTCACTTCTTCAAAACTTCACCATGTTTACAAACGCAAAGGCTTACAACAGTGCAACAGATTTATGGGATCTGCCCAAGATTTTGCATCTTTTGTAATTATTTTTCTTATCTTAGGTCATTTGTCACTGATGCCATAGTGACATCTTCCGGAGATGACTGTATACGAATTTTTCAACAGGTGATTCACAATCAAATTGTTCTGCAGATTTTTTATGTTTGGTACCTCGCAATTTAGGAAGCTTTTATTTAAATCCCTACACTAGCGAATCATTCCTTTGCTGTACCCACAGAAAAGTTTCAACCTTTGATTCTTTTAGCTACTGCCTAGGCAACTTTTTGAGAAAGAAAAACGAAATAATTCGATACAGAGTTATCTAGCAGACTAATTAATTACAGGTTGCTTTTTATTTAATTTATACATTTCTCAAGGAGATTAATTGTTTATTTAATATTCATTAGGATCCTTCCGTTGGTGACAAAAATCAACCGACATTTCACCAAGTGGCTGTTCAAAGAAAGGTTTGCAGTAATTTCGTTTATATCCTGAGCATAATCCAGTCCAGCGTCTATGACAACCTGACTAAATTACTTTATAATCGTTTTAATTAAGGTCTTACCCTTCTGGCCCCAGTTGTTCGGAAGGTGGATAGCGCTATCCACAAAATAAATCTCTATCCAGTGAATAGCGAAATTAGTTTTCCAAATACTTATCCACTGGATAGTGATTTATCCGGTGGATAGTGCTATCCATCTTTTCAACAACCGGGGCCAGGAAGTTTGCACGGTCCCCATTTTTATCTGAAGAGCTCGCTATTTTGATCACTTGTCTTCAAAAGATAATTACGGACTGGCTGCATCTTCAGCAAAAAGGGGGCCGGGTAATTTCTTACAAATTTCCGACGGGGTAACTTGGATATGTAAGATGTAGAACAATTTTACATCTTCAATGTCTTACGTCAGCAGCATCGTCTTTTCAAACAAGTTTTTTTTTCTCTGAACCAAGTTGACCGAGATCCTCGAAGGAGTCAGTCTTTCATTTTTGAACTCGGCTTTGAAACGACTAGACGTAGCGTTTGGTTGTTTCCAATGTTTAGTACCTCAATACGATATATTATCTGTTTTATGAATGACTAATTACAGAATAAAAAGTATAAACCGGATTCCTTTTTCCACCGCACACAGGCACATTCTCAAGACGTTAATGGCGTGAAATGGCATCCTAAAGAATCAGGTCTCTTAGCTTCATGTTCTGATGATGGTACAATCAACATGTGGAGATTTATACCACAGGATTAAATGACCTTCAACTACAATTCTGATTAATACCTAGTACCCTTGAGATCATAGATTCAAATACGAGATTGATAGATGAAGACCGTACGGAAAACATTAGCCCGAGATCGGGGGTAGACTCTGGCAACATTCTCTGGGAATGTGCTTTCATACTCTAAGAAAGGACGAAGGAATTCAGAACAATGACGGTGAAATGTAAGCTTTTTAGCGGGCATTGTATTTGCAAGTTTCGCAGGTCACTGCAAACATCTCCTTTAGAACTCCCAAATATAAGATCCCACGAAAGTTTCACGTCTCTGGGTTTTATATAATATAGTGAAGTATTGGGGTAACTAATACCGTTTAAAGTTTGGCGCCTGCACACGGTTTAGTAACCCCGTCCCACTAATGATCTGGACAGTTTTCTGCACTGACACTATACTAGTCTGGTGAGCAAGGGGGGCACGAGGTAAACGAGGTGTGCCAGGGTGGAGGATACGCACGAGGCGACGCCCACATCCTCTTCCCGTGCGGCCGTCGCTCCTATTTACGCCATATTCTTCTATGCATGTACCTTGCCTACGTTCTGGGAAAGATAAATGGGAAATATTAAATGAATGCGTAGTATTTCTGGAGCAGGATTTTATGGACATACAGTTGTAGAATAATTAAATATAGCGCTATTTCAGAACTTTGTGATAGTGTTTAACTAAGTACCAAATAAAACTAAGTTATTAGGTATTGATTTCACTGTTCAAGTCATCAGCTTATAATCGGCTGACAAAATAAGTAGTAGTATGACCTAAACGTGTGCCTTTTTCTGCTTTTTTGAAAACGTTGCTTTATTTATCCAAAGCCTCTCAGAGTTCTTCTGGGATGGTCGCCCGAGAGACTCTACTTACAACTTGTGACGAGCGTGTTCCTCTTTACTCCTGGATTTCTTCGGTGAACACTGATTCCATGTCCTCAGCAGCCTCTGCTTTGGCGCTTCCCCTTTCGGAAAGCTGCTGACTCTTGCTTTCATGCTCTGGATTATGTGTTGAAAGATTTAACTCGGTGGCAGTGTTAACTCGGAAACTCAGCCTTGGGTATTGCAGAGGTCAAGTTTTGTATTGACAGATCCCAAGGGTGAGTCGAGAGAGCTGTGATTTTCGTTTATGAGGGGTGTAACAGCATCTGGTGATAACCTGAAAGAAGGCCAAGTTCACCTAATACGGTCGCGCCGTTAAGATCCGGTAATCAGCTATAATGGGTGAAATATTTATGCTCCTGAGGATGGCTTTCAAGGACTTGCACAGAAATTTAAGGACTTTTCAAGGGAAAATGGAAAGGGAACCTCCGACCCAAAATAAATCCCTTCTTCCTTTAAAAGGCCTAAGACAGCTACGGCTTGAGAGGTCCCTCCGCCCCCCCCCTTAAAGCTATAGGAAGCATCCTACAACGTTTCATCTTGCTTAAGGTCCCTAATTAGCGATGGAAGTAATCCTTGGTCTGACGTCAGACTTAAGGGCTTTTATGTTTACAATGTAGAGATTCCCCCAGCGATTTTAAGTCATTGGCATTGCCTGCAAATATTCAAATAAATTTTCGCTCAATTCTTACGCTTTTAGTGACAGGTGGCGAATTCAGACGCTGAATAAATGTACTGGACCCTTAGGGTGGTTTTCGACTGTCGCTATTTTCTCGCGTACGATCATGCTTAACGACGAAGCCTTCAAAACACTATATATTTCATTCCTGCAGCTGCAGTTTTTAGACTTTGTCGATGTTGCGTGGGTTGAAGCAGGGTGTTGCAAAGAGCTCAGAACCGAAAATGCAAGAAGGCATTTTGGTTTTTAAGTGATCATATAATCTGGTACCTTGGTTTGTTAGTACCCTACAAGAAAAAGGGCTTTGCACGATCCTGCCACTGGAAGAACAAAAAAACTGCGCCAACCAAAGCCTGAACGCAATACATGGGCAAAATAACTTTTCAAGTAGGCGGGGACTATATTACTATTCTCCCCTTGTCAGTATTAAAAGCGCCCCATCCGTACATACCTAAAAAATTATGATGAGTAAGCATTTTTAATTCATAACATTTATTTCTTACTATCTTGACACAATTTTTTATATATATTTCCATTTCTACTGCTACTACCACTTGACACTGATTATTATCACATTAAATGAATTCAACTGACTATTTTATAAATATTCATGACAAGTAATTTCATTCATCTTAACACGCTTTGAATTGAAGTACAAACCTATCTCCGGAATAACAACTCCTACTTACATCAATCATTTTTAAACCATTCGTAATGATTGAATTTTTTATCTTTTCTTTTTTTAAAGTTGTTACAATCAGTTGATTAAAGAATTAAGAATTAAATGCAGGTGACTTTTGCAATACAGTAATATCTTGTTAAAGTCATCAGTGCAAATTAAGCTTATTGTAATCTTGTATATAATTTATTTAGGTTTTCTTATAATTTCTTCTTGTACTTTAGGGAATTTGAAAATAGTATAAATCTTTGTTTCCCATGGTCCTTTGAATACCAGCCTCGTGGCTGAATGGGCTACCTTGGTTACATAACATTACTTACTTACTTATTTACTTACTTGCTAAAATTTAAAGGTAGAGAAGTTATGACGTCACAAAAACTAAATTTAAGAAATTATTGAATCGTACGATCCATGTTGATTTTAGGAGGATTATATGGAGTCAGCATAGCATAGCTTTGCTTTCTTACCCTAACTAGCTGATTTTTGGCACGATGGACAGCCTCCATCTTTCTGAATATCTCAGTCAATCCCATAATTTCCCCTGAATTTTCTCCAAATCATTATTATTTGGAATCCCATAATTTCACTTATCACTCAAGATATAGTTCTCGGTTTCCGATTGGCTCAAGGCTCTCGAGGCTAATTCTTCATAACCACCTAGCGTTGACCAAATTTGGAAGACGTTTTGCGATATATGGAAAATGACATCAATATAAGTATAGCATAAGTATGAGAATAATGAACAGCAACTCAGAAGCCTTGGAGTCGAGGTAGTCGTCGTTTCAGGAGAGCATTACAAAAATGGCGGAATATTTTTCACATTTTGAACTGAAGACAAAATAGCCGAACTACTGCCAAAAACAGCAAGAATACCCTGACAACTCCACAAAAGATATTCACTATTTGGAGAATATCTGCAGAACTGATCATCCCTTTATCTCCCGAACTTGCAGAGAAACAGGCAAATGAAGAGGGGAACTTAAGACGATCGAGGTAAGAATGTTTTAGCTTGTTTTTAAACTGGAAATTAATAACAAATTAAACAGTCATTGGATTCAGCTTTCGTATGGTCTGAAATGATAGAGATCTCGATCTTCATAACTCTGATCTTCAGTTCATACTCAGCCTCATTCAACAAATGCTAAAAGTTGACTTTTCTATCAGTATACTTCCACTGTCAGCGGTAGTCTACAACAACCCCGTTAGAATAAGTCCAAGATTCGCCCGAGGCAGTTCAAGAGTAAGTAGTGATGGATGATTGCCACCTTCTTTGAACACGCACATGTACTGTCGCAATTTGTAATAAAACACCTGTCGCAATTTGTAATAACTGTGCATTGCACTTTATTTTGTAATAAACTTTGAATTAGATAACACATTCTCCATCCCCGGAGACCCAACGGCAGTCAGTGGGGTCGAGGGAAAAGGCGCGAGGAAAGTTTTCAAGCACGGGCGGAAGAGTCCCTTGGTTCCGACTCTCAACAGACCATTTCCAAACGGAAAAGAAAATGCTGGCTCCTGATTGGGCACAAAAAATGCCTGGAATTATTGTGTCCAATAACAGTCAAGTTTGCTAAAATCAGTCTTTGAAAGATGTTTTCACAGTTCTTTGAAATTCCGTCAAGAAGAAAGGTTTTGTATCATTGAGCAAGAGTTTGACTGATTTCTACTGATTTTTTATTCCATAAATTTAAAGGAAGGAGATATGAGCGATTTTCGTAATTTAAAGTGCTGCATGTCTTCATCACCTTCGATTATGGGGTACTATTCATGTTTTTGAGAAGATATCAATGTTAACCAAGTAAGTTAAATAAAACTCGAAACGTTTATTATAAAGTGCGATGGAATTATTACAAATTAGGACAGGATCGTTTATTGCAAATTGTGATGGACAGTTTGACAAATTACGAAAGCTTGAGTTTATTACAAGAGCAACACGGTTTGTTTCTAACTGCGACAGGTATTACAAAGTGTCATTATGATTATTAGAACTATGATTGCGACCGTACATGCATATACTTTAAAGTTCTGAAGCACATTTCGAACGATTCGATTACCTGACCATTTACGAGCTTAACAAATGCGTACACGAAATACTATATTCGAATCCCCCATAATGCACTCTGCTTGCCTCCAAAGTTTGCAATATAAGTTGTTGTTTTCAAACGCTCTTGGGAATATACAGTCCTCCCAGAAGCATGTGAAAATAATAGTTTATGCAAAGAAGCAAGGGGCAAGCAGAGTGTTTTATGGGGGATTCCAAAAATAGAGATTAAAATCATGGTACCTTTTGTATCTATATATCTATCGTACTTCTATCGAACCAAACGTAATAAACTACGCACGAAATTACTTTTTTCTGGGGTGTTACTAAACAGAATAACGCAGTGACGAGTAACGAGTAACGGAGTAACGAGAAAACGAGTAACGGGATAAAAATTCAAGAGGTTAAAAAAATAAATAAATAAATCCTAATGAAAGAAAAAAACATAAAAATGGTTGTAATATCCTAATGATGGCCTTTACCAATCTCGAAAAATATGTGTATTCCAAAAAGTGCTTAAAACAACGACGTCAACACCCCCCCCCCCCTCCCTCCAGCAAGGTCGAAGGTATTTTCGAGCCGGATAAGTCACCTGGTTACAGCTGTTATATAATAGGGACCAATGAAATAAGAGGTTTGAATGGGTGTAGGTCAATCGCGTTTCTCAAACCCACGAGGAAACTGAGCAGCAACCATGGAGGAAGGTGAGGTACAGATTTCTGATTGCCACAATTATTTCATTTCTTGGGCCCTTATACGGTTAACAACTAACCAAGTACTCGATTGCCAAGGCTTAGAACAGTTTGCTCGCTTATTACTCCCGGGTTATTACCTTTCCTGCTCAACTTTCAGTGTCTTTTAACTCCTCTCGAAAATACGGGATTCAACTTAATACTATACCTTCCAAAAGTTAATTATAGTGAACGTTTCTACTGGTTTACCCTGGGTGCCAGAGACTTTTCTAACGCGGTTTCCGGTTTCTGTCAAGTCTTTATAGTGACCCGCGCGAAAAGCTTTTCTCGCGAAAAAAAGTTTTTTTGGCGGCTTCGCCGCTCGTAGCTTCGGCCTACGGCCGAAGACGTGTCGCCCTTCGGCCAACACCGAAAATTCCCGCCGCACGCGAGAAAAACCTCTGGTACTCAGGGTATTACTGGTTTAAAAGGAATCACAAATCATTTTCAAAAATAACCTCACGATGTAAAGAATCTGAAATTTGAATATTGGCTGCAAAATAGAATTGCTTAGCGAGACCAGTTTTTAGAACGATTTTCAATTAAAGTAAAGTAAAGAAACATTCAAATGGATTGGTTTGCTCGAAGTTGCGTTTAACATCAATCAATGTAGAATAATCGAAACGTAGTTGCTGCCAGGGCATGAAATTAACTCTTTTTTGTAGCATCCACTTGGCTACTTAACATTTCAGTGGTAGCCAATTCCATAAGTCGAATACGTCCTGCGTCCCCAGAAAAAAAATGCATAAACGAAACAGAACAAACAAGGAGAAAACAGCCGGTGTACTAGATGTTATGTTAGAGTTGAGATCCCCCAAATTGACAAGTTTTGAACCCAAACGATTCTAGCAGGTAATCAAAGTAAGCAAAGAGGACTTCTACATATGCAACTTGAAAAACCAAGATGGCGTTCGCTAACCAACAGAGTTTCCTAGTGAAATAGGCCACTTGCACTAAGAGGTCACGTGACCAATGCTTCCTTTAAACAATGAGTTGGAATCTTGCTGATGCCAAAAATTGTTAGAGCACACAAAAATTATCCTACACCCGAAATTTGAGAGGAAACGCATTTAAGGGAGATATTTTATGGCACTTTAATTTTTCAGCAAAGTAGAATGATTTGCATTGGCCGCCATGTTGGAGGGCATGCTTTTGCCCTCCAACATGACTGCCAAAGCTACTTCTTGCTCATATCTTGTTCAACGCTTCATATTTACGCTCAGATGTGCTGTAAACGTTATCACATCATCTTTTCAACATTTTCCTTGAAGTTTAAGTGCAAAATTTGTGTTCCGAGAGAGGTAATTCGTAATTTTAAAAATCACATTTTGGTCACGTGACCATTTACGAACTTATTCATTTTAAGGAAATGGTTCGGGTTTGAAAAACCAAATCACCATTATTTTGTTTAAGATATGACCCACTAATGGTTTTTTGAAGGCAAACTCACATATTTCATTTTCATAAAAACGATGTCACATGCCTCTTGGTGCAAATGGCCTATATGTGCCATTTCGCACGATCGTCATACAGACATTGGCGCCTGTGTAAGATGCAATTTCACTCCCTGATAACATGTAATTACATGAACTCATTTTGACCCAAATTTTAATTTGTTAAGCCTGGGCTTAATGGCTTAAGGGCAGCTACGCCCCTGTCAGCACTGAATTGTGTCAGGGACTTTCCCGCTTCTGGTCACGATAGCGGCAAACTTTAGAAACATATAGAGGAGTTCACGCTCATAGTTGCATCGTGGGTAATCAGGGCAAGATAGAGGGAAATTCGAAAATTTGCATTAGAGTTCAAAGCCAGCTAATTCTTCCTAAATTCACATATTTGGTGCTTTCTCTTTGAAATGGGCAACTTACAAGTTCAAAGAAGCAATACACTAAATCTGGAGTGCAAAGACGTCCGTGAACAGTTTTTAGAAAACCTCAATTTTTCCATACATTTTTTGTAATTTTGACACTGTCGAATTACAGAAAATGTATGGGAAAACCGCAAGGTTTTCTATAAATTGATCACGGACTTCTTTGCACTCCAGATTTAGTGCATTGTTTATTTGAACTTGTAAAGTTACTCTTTTCAAAGAGAAAGCACCAAATATGTGAATTCAGAAAGAATTAGCTGGCTTTGAATTCTAATACAAATCTTCGAATTTCCCGCCATCTTTCCCTGATTACCCATGATGCAACTATGAGCGTGAACTCTTCTATTGGTGTGTTATATGAAACGCCTGAGCTAAGACAACAACAACTAATAGTATTTTGACATCGAAGAAGAGCCCTCGTCCCCACTTCTGTCTTCTCCCACTTATGACCTCTTAGGGAAAGGAATGATCGTGTCTTCTGGACTTGCTTTGACGATCAAGTGGCATTTGCAGACGGTTTTTATCATCCCGCCACTACGAAGAGGGACCTGCATTTGGCATAAGAAGTACTTTCCTTAATCTTCTTACAAAATTTAATTAATCCATTAGTTATCAAAATCGTTCACACTGAAACCTTGAAACTTAGGGTAATCCCATACATTGTCTAAAAAAGAATGTGTCACAAAACAAATTTTCTGTTCCTTTTCTTCATGAACTCAATAAGCACAATGTATACCGCAAAAATCAATGTTATTGATGCAGATGTCGATGTTGGTACTGGGTGTATGCAGTTTTGTTCAGTTGTACATATTCAATGATTTGTGAAAATTGTTCAGAAACTCGGCACTTTTAAAATAGTCTTCCTGATCTTGGGCTGTAAGAAATAACCTTTTAAGGTGAACGATAAACGGAACGGTTTGTTACTCTATCTGCTGGATAGGCAAATTCTATTGAAAATAACAGCCGTAGCCTGGTGATTTTTTCGGTGCGAAAATACCTTCGACTTTATTGCTGGAGGGAAAGATGGGGGGGTTGATGTCGTTGTTTTAAGCACTTTTTGGAATACACATATTTTTCGAGATTGGTAAAGGCCATTATTATAGGATATTACAACCATTTTTGTGTTTTTTTCTTTCATTAGGATTTATTTATTTATTTTTTTAACCTCTTGAATTTTTATCCCGTTACTCGTTACTCGTTACTGCGTTAATCTGTTTAGTAACACCCCTTTTTTCGGTAACATGGCGAAAATCATTATACATTTTTCGCAAACTTGGAATCCCTTGCCATCAAACGTTTTACGCAGGGTACCTTAACAGGCATGCCTCCTGAGAGGGATACCAACAGCAATTCGTCTTTGTCGACGTGTAAATAATAACAGGAGAGCCTTCCTAAAGTTGGGCATTCTTATTGTGTAAACCACGGGATTAACAAACGAGTTTGTGCAAAATAAAAGCAGTAAAGACAAATTTAATCCCATTATTTTTGAGTAAGAAAGTGATCGAATGCTATCAATTGTATGATAAACAAAGGTACCTACAGCAAACGGTAACCACAACAGTAACGATACAATAGTCATGATGAGTAACGTTACAGTTAGTTTTCTTTGCCTACGGGCTGCACCATGGTGCTGAGGACGCGCCCCACAACAAATTTTGACAATAATTGAGGCGTAACAAGCACAGATAACAAAAAGACATAATAAGCAATATGCTTGCCATAAATACTGATGTTGTGACCATTTTTTGCCGAATAAAGTAAGCAACATAATGGCAGCTGATATCATCCCAGCTAAAACCCAGACCACAGAAATTGTTATCCCGTAGACCCATTTTTTGATAACGCGATGTCTGAATGGACGAAATGTCGCATGCATCCGATCTAACGAAATTACAGTAATGTTTGTAAGGGAGGCAAGAGGAAACCAGAAGTAACCAAACCACACTATGATGTACATATACCCTCCCCAATCTAACCGGACATTCACAATTTTGCATTCGTAGATTCCAAACAAAGTTTGAAAACTGGAAATTCCTCCAACCAACATGTCAGCTATGGTCAAGTTTATAACCAAATACGTGCCACGAGTGCGAAGATCACTATTTGTTACAAAAAGAATGATCGATAGAAGATTCACTGTTACTATAGCAACAGAAACGGTAAGGAATGCAGCAAACCAGGTAATGCACTCGGATGTGGAAAGCATCGTGGATAATTTCTTTTCGCTTCCCACCTTCAGTTGCTCTGCTACCTATACAAAGATGAATTCAAGTAAAGGTTGCTTAGTTGGATCTGAAACGTTAGGAGGTGAACTAAAAAGAATGACTTCAAGTCCTCCAATATCTGTAATGGAGACACATTGAAAGAGCGCTCACCTCAACCCTAAATAAGTTATTCCTTAGCCGTGTGTCGTCACAAAATCTGAAGTAACGGTCTTGCTTTCACCTTTAAAACAAAAATGTCAAAAGTAGCGCACGAGGTTAGAGTAGATGATGAATTGGTTGACAGGCCACTGAGGGCGAAAAATTTTATATTCAACCTCACTTACTGCGGCTGACTATATTTAACTAATCAAAAGGTAAACCTAAGAACCGAGTCAACCCTCGTTCGTATGAATCATTGAGTCGAGAGTTCATTTAACTCTTTTAAGACCATCAAATATCAAGATTGAGGCAAGAAAAAATATTGCATCTGGAAACTCCTTGCAGCAATTTTAAAGAGACCAATTTCTAGTCATCATAGCTCAAAGATTTATTTTACAAAACGTAACTTATGTAGAATCAATGTGCCACTCGAAGTTTTTCATCACGTGGAATCAAACCCGACCTTAGCTGTTTTTGTCAACTGACTCTGATAAATAACTTGGCGACAACTTCGGCGTCTGAATCAAATCCGTTCCAAAGTCGCTCCAAAGGCGAAATTCCCGGCCGGGCCAGGCGAAAAGAACGGCTGAACCGTTCCAAATTGAAACAGGCGTTCCTAATTGATTCAGACGCCGAAATTTTCATGTACTTTATTCAATGTATTAGGTTCGGCTCATGAAAAGTTCGGCGTCTGAACCGGGCCTTAATAACCACACAGACGCTTAATGACGATTTGCTAGAAACTAACCTCTTTATTATTTCATGTTTAATAACATACCTGAAAAAATTTCTCGATTGTGATTGGCTAAGAGAAATGCAGTTTTTATTTAGGTAACACGATGCAGAAAAAAGGTAATTTAGTGTAGAAAAGAGTAATAAACGTGACATTCTGATTGGCTAATAAGCAAAGGAACTCACTGAGAGCCAATCAAATGCGCCATCTAAATGGCGCAAAATTTGGATCCGCTCCGGTGAGACCAGTTTCGAGCAAAAACCGCAATGGTTGGCATTTGCAGCACATTTGCTTTTGCGACCGAAACAACTGTAGAGGAGCTGAAAAACTGCTCTAAAAACGAAAACACTGCGCAAAGCACTGGTTTTTGGCTCTCTGTCACGAAGAATTGGTGCGTATATAAGGAGATTACTGATGAAATAGAAAATTATGAGCCGGCTGAGCTTAACACTTTGCTCGAGCATTGCTACGCCGAAGACAAACAATAAAAAAGGTGAAGATTATGAACCAGAAAGCCTTAAAGTAATGATGGCATCGCTTGATAGACACTTAAGGAACAAAGGCTGCACCCTGTCTATTGTACGTGACCGAGAATTTAGTTCGTACAAAGAGGTGTTGGAGGACAAAGCGAACAGCTTCGCTTGGCTGGCCGTGTTAAGCGCCCAAACAATTCAAAGCTCGGCAAGTATCAGAGGAGAAAGAAGAAATTCTCCGGAGGAGCGGAAAACTCGAGGTAATAACCCAGAATCTTTAATTCAAACACATCGAACAATTCCATGAACTGTTCAGCCAGTTTCTGCAGCTTGCAAACTTTAAAAACATCGAGCAAAATGTTGTCTTGACTGCACGTGTGATGATATTTGCAGCATTTGAATAGCACTTGGTTTTGTTTGTACAGGTAAGGACACCCTCTTTATAAGATCCGTGTAAACCACATGGACTGGTCCGGTTTCCGAGATCTCGCTTCAATATCTTTTTAAAGATTGCGATCTGACTGCGGGAGAAGAAGGGATATCCTGGGATAGAACATACGAACATTTCATCTCCGTTACGAGGCCGGACTTTTTTCGGGTACGCATGCATCTCTGCTGAAAGAATCGAAAGCGGGTTCGGCCCCTTTAAGGCCTTAAGTACTCTAACTTTTGGAACTGCAACAAAGGAAATCATAACCGTTAACAACCCGTCGTGCACGCTTTATACCTCATCCTAAAATGGCGGAAATACTACTCTTATATTTATGTCGCAGCCATCGACTGCACCTGCAGAATTCAAAACAATTTTTACCTTGAAACCTTGAGGCTGCATGGAGGGTCAATTATCGTTAAGACAAAAAATAAAATTTGACGCCGTTTTGGTGTAACGTTTATGGAGTAAACAATTTTATCTCTCTGGGCAAACGGGAGTATAATTTTAGACGAACATACACTGTTTGAAGAGGGCCTAGATCATTCTCAGTTCTCCCAATCGTGGTATCTAAACTTTTTTATTGCGATCATTTTTTATGTTAACATACACAGAGAGCACAAAGAGGAATAAAAATCAGTATATAATATATTTACCTGCCTGAAACAACCCACATATGAAAAAATCTAGAGATTCTATTATTTTCGTAAGCCATGGTCTAAGTTAATCTTCCTTAACATCGCGGTTCTTTCTGTTTGTCCCTCTGTTACCTTAACGGTTGTCACATTTTTGAAATTATTGTTGCTGTTTAAGGCTGGTTTTAACTTAAACTTCCTCTTTCAATCGGCCCTCGACAAATTGATCCTTTTTTGATCGACATATACAGTTATTGTTTCGCCACAGTCTATCTCTCTCTCAATGCAAGCGAACAAACTGCTAGTAGTAATCGATGTTCTTTGCTCTACTGTTTTAAGCTCTGTTTATCTAACCATACATTTATAAAATAATTTCACTGCACAATTTTATTCTGCCTGGGTGGCTAACGGGGTTTAAATTTATCATGAAGGTATGAATAGCCGAGGACCAAGTCATCCTATTATCTAAACGTTCTTCGTTGCAGTTAAGATCATGTTTCAAAATATTGTTGCTGATCTAAGCGTGGTGTTAGTCGTAAACTTCCTCATTCAATCAGCCCACCGCCGCCTCGACAAATCGATCCTTTGTGATTGACACCTACATTATCATGATTATTTCGCAGCAGACTATTATTCGTCGCGGCTACTTACCCTTGCAGCTTCTTCAAACCTGGCCCCCCGGAAACGCTCCCCGCCCAACAAGGCACCTGAGCAGTCGGGTGTGCTAGGACTGCTTTGGCTACTACCAGAAGTAGCCAAAGTCAAATTGACAAAACCTCCGATCTTCATTTAGATAAAATGAAGAAAAAATTTGTACCATATGAAAATTCGCATGGAAATTCATTTGAATGATAGCCACCCGATTTCATTAACATGGCAAATTAAGAATGCTAGAACCACCTAGGTCATAAGAGTCCACTATGTAGCTCTCATGGGAATGAAAGTGGTGCAGGTTCACAAAATAGAATTTAAAGATGCGGCTTTTCAAGGTTGTACTTAAATATTCCATTGTTCAAGCCCTTTTCTATAATATGAAATCAGTAAGGTTTAAATTTTCAGTGAGACTCAGCTGAGAACCAAGAAGAATGATTTATCTCTCTTTGAACAGTCAGGTAGTTATAGAGTTTTTGCGGTGACAAATGAAAATATGAATACAATGTAGCAGCTTCAAGCATCTCTTGCAGAAGGAGAAAATTCACGTTTTGAACTGTTCAGCAATTAAGATAACTTCACGATCCGAGAACTCTGCTGCCAACTAGTTTTCTTAGTTTTATCGTAATTGTTCTCACCATTGCACCTAAATTATACCGCGCCGCTAAAACATTTTTTCTTACCTTTTCAACAAGTACTGTTCTGGGTTACTGGTCTGGAAATGAGCTGTAAAACTTTTGCGACAGAGAACAAGGACGTCCGTGCTTAATTCAGAGACTATGTTAGAACATGATCTCCTCAAATGATGGTCTTTTCATATAAACGAAATACCCGTTTGCTGAAAATGTTTGAAATATATCATTTGCTCACTTCCAGGGACTGATTCCCTTCTCTATATTTGCCACGTTTTTAACAAGCAGCACGAAATTTTGAAGCTATAAAGTTTTTGTTGTAGACGGTTGCAGCGTATTATTACAAGAACAAATGTTTACTGTGAACCACTTTGTAAAACCATCGTTACCTTAACAACAAATCGAGAACACAGGTGCAAGTCAGAGGAACGAAACACTGTCAATGTCAACATTCTATAATTGAGACAGCATAAACTGAGTAATGGGCTAGCTAAAATTAAAGTTAGAAGCCGAGAAACAGAAATTCACCAGGTCATTTGATGGCAAAAACCCACGGCAATTTTAATGCAACTAACTAAGGGCCTCTTCATATGAGCTCGGTTGACCGGGCTGGCGCGGTTTCCGAGATCTCGTCTTACCTCTAAATCCTTTGTAAAATTTTCGATGTGTTCATATGAGAGGGCGGGCTGGCTCGGTTACCGAGATCTCGGTTTTTCCAACCGAGATCTCGGTAAGCGAGCTGGAAATTTTGCCATATGAACACTTCATCCCGGTTACCGGGATGAACGGCGGGATGAATTCTGGTGGTCCGGATGGCATCGTCTTCCATCGCCTGCTGTATTTTCCACATCATAAGCATCCCATTTAACTGCAGTGATGCAGCTTTAAAAGTTACCGATGCTAATATAGACCCGAAAGTTAAAATTTTTGTGTTTCACTATGTTTGCTTTGTTTCCCGAACTTGGCGCCAGAACTCGTCCCCAGGATCTTTGACCTTTTCTCATCTCGGAAACCGGTCTGAAATTTCTCATATGAACCCAAGGCAAAATTCATCCCGGTAACCGAGCCAGCCCCGTCAACCGGGCTCATATGAAGAGGCCCTAAAAGGATAAACTACGCAATAAGTTAGGCTCCGAAAGAGCTTTAAATTAGAATTTAATATTAGAAACTAAGACACAAAAAGACAGGTGTATGTTAGACCAGTGGCACCAATTTGATGAACAGAAACATTTTTGACCAAAGACGGCGGGCACCTAGTTTGTATCCCTAAAATTGGGTGGCCATTTGAAATGACGCCAGATCTATTTGGCATTTAACAATACTGCTCCCATATTTAACGGTCTCGTCGGTTCTAATGGACAAGAAATATTAACATGCGTTTATCTGGTCACATTAAAAAGACGCGACTTTTTAAAACAATTAGTTTTTAAAAAATTGCGTCAATTTGACTACCTCGTTTACTAAATGTTACTCATCAGCCTACTCAGAGTGACTGCAATGAGCTATTGCTTTTCTTGTATTTATATAGAACATTGACATACTGTATTTTTTACCTGATTATGACGTCCGAGAACGTCGAAACGTCGTACATTTTTTAACTTTTTTAAAATTTCTTAAAATATTTTTAAGAAAAGTTTTTACACAATTTTTTTATAGCTATCTGGTCACAAAGAGACAAAATACAATTGCAACGAATATCACCCATGTTACTGTAAACTAAAGATTGATGTATTTTGGTCAAATAACGACTTTTCGCCCATAAGGCCACCCGGCCTCCGCCCCCGCTCACAACCTTTGCAACTCGCTACTCAAGTCCTACGCATCCCCTGAACTACGAGATCAATTCGGGAATAAAATATGAAGATATCCGCCTATGTAGGGTTCAGAGCTGATTGACCGATAGTTGGTATAATAGTTTAGAAGTTTGACAAAAACCCTTAACGCACTGCATTCCCTAGACGTCGGTAGTTCAAACGTTGGATAGCGTTATACAGCGGATAAGTATTAGGGAAAGACCAATTGCCTTATCCACTGGATAGAGATCGGGTTTATCCAGTAGAAAGCCTTATGGAACTTTCGAACCACTAGGCCTAGAACGTAAACAACTTTTCTTTTCCTCAAAAGTCCCAAAAAGTCTCAGTGGGAGAAGTTGCTCCAAAACGGTTTTATTGGAAGTCCCCTCTTTCGTGGCGCATGGAAACGAGGCGCTCATGTACCGCTTTTAATTAAATGAAATAGAGGCAACAACAACAAAGAATCCAAGTAGTGTTGCATGCAGTTACGATAATGTTTTTATACCCTTTGAACCTTCATAAAACTTGTCTGTCCAAATAATTTTCTCTTGCTTTTCTTTTTCAGAGTTCAACTTTTTAGGTGGCTAAAAATATATTGTATCTGTCACCTGCTGATTTACGTACTTGTAAACCATTCTAGAATATTATTCATCATACCACATCTATATATGCCTCGCTTTCATGTCATAACATATGAGTGCAATATAGACAGCCAATTTGAAGGTCTAAATGATCGAGCCAAGCTTGTTAAACAAAGTATAAGCGCATAATTTTGATCTAAAAAAGTATATTTTCCGACTTTTCCGCGAATTTGCCGACAGAAGTTCTCTTTTGCGAAAGTTGTGCCAGTCTATAAAGTGATTCTGAATGTTTACCAAAAAATAACGGCTTTTATTGTTTTTTCCTGCATGAAGGGCTTAATATTCACAGTCAGGTGAACTGAGAGCTGATTGTTTTGCTAACAAATTGTGTATTCAGTAAAAACCTACGATACACTCATGTATGGGGGCATCTTCATTACTTGTAAACTGCACCTTAAGCAGTCTGGCAAAGTCCCCCAACCAGTGTTGTAAATTATCCCTGAAAAGCCCTGTGGGGAGTGGATAATAAGACATTTACAATTTACAATTTATACGGCGGCATTTAGCTAGGTGAGACAACCTATGGTGGCCGACTCGTCAAAACGACATTAATTTGTTAATTTTACATTGAACTTTAATTATTTTGAGTTGAAAATGAAGCAAAAGTTAAACGCAAAGTTATTTTCTTTTCTATTGAATTGAAAATAGATTATTTTTTTATTATTATCATTTTCAACACAAAACAAAACATTTTTATTACGAAATGAAAATAGAAGTGAAATAAAAGCAGAAGTAAGTGATATGTTCACGGTCGGGAACTGCCATTCAAAACAGAAAAAGTAAATTAAAATTAGTATGTTCATGGCCCAGGCCGGGAACTGCCGTTAAAAACAGAAATGTAAAATTAATATGCTCATGGCCGGGAATTGCCGTTCAAAACAGAAATGTGAAATTAATATGTTCATGGCCGGAAACTAGCTGCTTTTCAAAACAGAAAAACTAAAGTTAATCTATTCATGGCTGGGAACTGCCGTTCAATAAAAAGAGAAAGAAAGAAACGTAAGGCTGTCTCCCGCCAAAAGTCTCAGGTTTCTTTCCTTTTTTTTTTTGAACGGCAGTTCCCGGCCATGAACATATTAATTTTAGTTTTCCTGTTTTGAATGGCAGTTACCGGCCATGAACATAATAATTTTACTTTTTCTGTTTTGAATGGCAGTTACCGACCGTGAACAAATTAGTTTTACTTCTGCTTTTATTTCACTTTTATTTTTATTTTCATTTCATAACAAAAATGTTATGTTTTGAAAATTAACAAAATGAATCTATTTCCAGTTCAATGAAAAACAAAATAATTTGACGTTCTACTTTCGCTTTATTTTCAATACAAAATAATTAAAGTTCAATCTAAAATTTACAAATTTATTTCGTTTTGACGAATGGCAGTTGTCGGCTAGACTACGAGCAATCCCCCATTTTTCCTCAGGGATAGTAGCTAGAGCGAGCAAAACGCAAGCGCGCGTGAAAATCACCCCACGCGAGAAAAGGCGACACGCCCGCTCGCGTTTCGCTCGCTCTACTATCCCTGAGGAAAAATGAGGGACTACTCGTGGTCTAGTTGTCGGCCACCATAGTGGTCTAACTTCTTAAGGTTAAAATATAGCGTTGACATTTTTTTGACGAGAGGATCGAAATGCACCAATAATAGAAAGACAGTTTTAATTGCACGTTTCCTAAGAGGTCATCTGAATTTGCTGTTTTCTTTATTTTATGTCCATTTTTTGTGATTGGTCGATTTTCAGTTAGGTCGAGTGGATAATCCAATGAGGGACGACTTGGATATCGTTTGATCCGAAATTTTCGAAGCAGCAGTGAGAAGCAGTTTGGATAACATTCGGCCGCGGCGTTTCGAGGAACGTGTTAATATATTGTTCAATCATGTTATCCCGGGTTAAACTTACAAATGCACACACTGTTCGCGGTAGGCCCACACTAAAAAATAACACTGAGTGTTTTCGGAATGGGCTGGTCAGCGAACTCAAAGAAAAACAAAGGAAATTATCAAGACATTCAATGACATCAAAGACTCATAGACCCCATAGACGTAATAACAAATCGGAATATCAGGATTGTACGTGTAAAATGGATAAGAGTTTGAATAGAAGAATGTTGAACAAGTTTGAGGGTCGCAAGATTTGTGTAGCTGGTTATCAGTGTGACACTAGTGATTTTGATTTTTGCATTGCGTAACACAGCGAGTTGAATGTGATAAGTAATGAGTGAGGGTTTGCTTCTAAATTCAAAATATATTCAAATGGGTCACGAGGAGGGGGGTCTTCAAGCTTTACTCACACAGCCGGCTACCTCTTGTAAATGTTTGCCGGTTATTCATTTACGGCTTTGCGACCGTAAGAAGAGCTTAGGGGCTCGTTGCTTTGGACTTTAGTAACTTAATTACCGACTCGGCTTGACATGACATACTGCACCGACATTTTAGACCATCGCAGAACCGTAAATGGTTAACCGCCAAATGATTAACTCATGGAAAACAATTTTTAGAGGTAGCTGTGTGAGTAAAGCTTGAAAACCCCCCTTCTCGCGACCCATTTTAATAAATTTTGAATTTAGAAGCAAGCCTTCACTCATTACGGTCATTTGCATGGACCCTCACTCGCCCAACAAATTATTTGCAACAAAATATTATTTTCTCACACTCGGAGATGTTTCTTTTTCTTAATCATTTCTTTATTTTTCGTTTTTTTATATATATATTTTTTATTTTATGTTATTTTGTTATTATCAATTTTTACAAAAACTATGTTATTATTATCATTTAATTTAATTTTTTTTTTTTTCATGAAAATTACTTAGTTTTTCATGTTCCGGCATGTTCCGGCATGTTCGGGAATGTTCCATGTTCCTGGTTTTATCGACGCCCCGAGACGATTGTCAACAATTGAAACCAGAAGGAACTGAGGCTTCTTTTGGAACTACTGTGATAACTGCAACAATTCTTTCTATTATTTCAATTTTGTTTAGCAGGATGACGGTTAATGTACTTGTTTTTGTATTGCATGCTGTGTTTTTTCATACGATGCTGTGCGTCGGGATTTTGCGTTATCAGCAAGTTTTGTGTTAGTGTTTTGATGGCAGCGAGGTGACGACAAGAGAAGGTAATGAGCTAGTTGTACAAACGGAAAATTGTGTTGTGGAGGAAATAAAAGAATTTGAATTGAGATCTCGTCGAGGGAAATTTATTTATAACGGAACTTACAATTTCATTGGTTTAAATCAGGTTAGTCCATTATATTTTCGGCATGACAAATTACCATCGAGATTGTAATTGGAAACTCGCGTTGTTTTCAAAATTTGCATAAATCGGGCGCAACAAAGAAATATTTAGGTTACAAGCGCTTCGAAATACAACGGCATAGCTTTTACTCGTTGTGTTATATCTTTCAAAACTATCGATCGATTCTAGCTCAAAAACTCTCAAAGCAGCGGTTTAAATGTTAAAGCCCGTGGCTGGTTGAAATCGTCTCTTGTTTGTTTTCAAACGATTTAGGATGGATCGAATCGACTTTGGATCGATTATTATTTTATCCGCTTGTGGTATGAACGAAACCTTTTTCTTCTCGATAAAGTTCGCTCAACAAATTAAGAAAGATTTACTTGACTTTTCATATGTGGAACGAACTGACTTTTTTGTGGAACGATCTGACCTGGAACGATGTCAACGAAATGACCGGTTACCGTCATGCCCCTAGCAGACTACCAATGAACAAATTAAAATCTTTGTTACAGAAAACACGGAAAGTGACACTTTTTGTGTAGAAGAGTATTCGGAAAAATACCCCATTGTCGTCTGAAATTCATTGTTACGTTAAAAGTAGAAAAGGTTTACACTTAAACAGGTACAGAAGTAACTGTAGCAGTGTGAGGTTTTTACTTAAGGGGCAACTCCAAAACTAGATCGTAAACGAGGGAAGGTGTATCTATCGTCCAAGCATTAGAGCACAGGCGATTTAGGTGGAATGAGATATCCAAATAGGCTTCTAAGTAAGAATTTGCCCCTCTGTACTTGCAATTAGGGACTGTGCAATAATTATCAGGAGGGGGGGGGGGGGCCCAAAACCAGAGGGGGGGGCTTAAGTTAAAATAATGGAAAGGAGGGGGGGGAGGCTCTACATTAGATTTCTCAAGGAAGTTGAGGGGGGGTCTTAATTAAATTTCACAAATTCGATAATGAATAAATAAACATTTTCCAAATAGACAGATGCCACTCCTTTGACTATCCATAATGTCTAAATATTGCATCAACATAAACACATGCTTTAACTTATTTAGAATGTCAACATATGATAGATTGAAACAATCGTCCATGCACAGAAGTCACAAAACACGTTGTGAGCTTTGCTAATAAAACATTTGGCATTTAAGAGGTCCCGCAGACATGCCAGGTCTGTTCTTGCTTTAAACAGCGAGAGGGTTTCTAGGTCTACAGTTTCTAACTGAGGAATGCCACATGCTTCTGTTTCATAGTTGTCATCACTTCATAGAGCACCAAAAATTCCTTGCAATGAAAGCAAAAAAACGGGCAACGGAAAGGAACAAACTTCCAGACATTAATTGGTCCGACGAGGTTGAGGTCAACTTGCTGTCTGCAAGTAAACTGAAACTCTACCTAAAGGAACACGGTTTACCCGTCAGCGGAGGGAAACCAGCACTCGTAGCTCGTGTTCTAGGTGATGGGGAAGCTCAAGGTAAAGAAAACCCGGATGAGCAGCAATCTAGCAGTTCCGAAGACCAAGAAAATAATGAACAATCAGACGATTCGGAAATTGACGATTATGAACGAAGAACAAAGTTTCGAGGTGCTCTTCATCCCTGACGACGCAGTGGAATGCGTTGCAGTACGGTGAGTAAAGGTACGGGTTAGAGAGGGGGGGGCACATCATAATTTCGAGAGAACGTGAGGGGGGGTCAGAGCTAATCTTGACGCTGCTGGAGGGGGGGACCTATCTAATTTTTCCTTTGGTGAAGCTCATTTTAGGACCCCCCCCTTCCTGATAATTATTGCACAGTCCCTTATCTATTTTATAGTGCTTAAAACAGTTTGAATCACCGGGTTAATTTTGGCCAATTTAAGCTTTGTACTGATATAGAGAAGAATGGCCTTCAGTTTATGTAGATGCTACAAAAACAATTAATGCTCCATACTGTCAAAGAAATGTTACAGGATTTGGGGAAAATGGTGGACAATGATGTGTCGCAATGAGTCTGTGCACTTTAATTTCCCGGGGGGTACTTTAGGGGTTTCTTGGTAGGGATGTTCCGCTGAGACCCTGGAACCCTTAACCTATACCAGAGCTAGTTCAGCTAAATTTTGGTACCCTATACTAGAGTAAACTCCCCAAATCCCCCCTATCCTAGAGGAGCTGTTTCCCTAGTTTAGATAAAATCTTCAACCAACTGATCAGTTTCCTGAAAAATGATACCCTATTCTAGACCCAAACGCTCTGATTTATATACCCTATCCCAGAGTAAACTGCTTGAAAACCATACCCTTCACAGCTGCACATACCTATATAGCCCATATATGGCAGTACCCCCCGGTTTAATTTACAGTAAGATAACAAAGATTACTTCAGTTGATGATATGACTCAAATAATGATTGTTGGTATTCAATTATATTCTTGTGTGTCACTGCTTGCAAGACAATCTATGTCAATGTTAACAGAATTGCCAGGAATGGTTACAGTGTTTGAACAATTTTTCCACCTTGAATACAGTGACAGTTATACCTGTAACATCCATCACTACTGTATATGCCACTCACAGGCTACAGCATTTCAAACACTCTTGGCACTGAACTACAACTCATTCGTTTTAACGGTGGCAATTATTGGTGTTGGTATCTACAGCACTGAGGCTGGGGGATATAATGTATTTGATTCTCATGCTAGAGACATGTGTCATAACAGTCATAGTGAAGGGACATTTGTATTATTGGGAATACCATCCATGCATAAATTAGTACAATATTTTCAGACTCTACATAGGAATGAGAATATATATGAACTTAAAGGAGTACATATTGCCACCTTTGAACCTCATCTTTTCTCAAGCAATGTTGAAAATTGTAGTATATCAAATGTTAACATTTACCAATGTTCCTGTAAACAGTGCTGCCCTATAGCAGTTTATGCAATGGGCTCCTGACTCTCTTCTTAATCCTTGTGGATACTGGACTTAAGGAACTTTATTTGCCCGTGTTAGTAACCGGAATACACTGTACAAAGTGACGGGTGTGAAAACACATCTGTCAGTATCAGTGGAGCTGAGATAAACCTTACTCTCCGGGCTGTAACCACTTATGTCCTATGTTGCAATTTGGCTCCAAGCATGTCTGCATTGAAGATGTGCATATTTTCAAACATTGTCGTGAAATGACACTATATTTGTTGTGGATTGGGACATACTGTATAAGCTGTGTGGTTCAGCAAACAAGTGGAGTAAAGGATTTGTCTTCTCTGGTAAGATATGATGACAGTTCTTTAGCTGCAATAAGGCATGTTCAAAGTATCATAACCGTAGTACGACCACGCCCAAATATACGCTCACACAGCGTCTTGTTTTATTTTATACTTATCGTGGTTACTCGTGGAAATTCCTCCTAAAGAGCAAATTTAGCCATTATAACTACTTTAATGACTAGAAATCTATTAAGTTTCCTATCCTTTTCACTTTTTTTTTTTGGATGCGTTTCGATAAAAGGAGAGAATAAGAAATCGTGCGCGACGCGCCACATTGCACGATGTCAAGGCACGGTTAAGCGTGACACGAAATGTCACGCACTGAATATAACGAAATCGCCTTATTCTAATTGTTCTAAAATAGGTATGATGAAGTCAAACACAACAAATAAAAAGCCACCAGGGGTCTTACATCCCAGCATAGAGAAATGAATTCAATTACCTTTCTAAAGGACGTACGGCCACTTTTGAGATTCAGACAATCGACGACAAAATTGTTGAGACATTGTACTTAAATAGGGTAATTTCGGAGAACAAAAGAATTCGCACCCCTCCCCTGTCCCCTCCATTCAAAGTTGGGGTGTTTGTTGTTTTCTATAGGTAGCTAGAACAAGGGCACAACATTGCACGGAGGGGATGGGGGAGGAAAGCTATATTTCCTCCTTTTGAAGTTAATAAAACGTAAAAAAGCCCAGTTTTGGGCGAAGTGTCTCAACTCATTTTGTCGCCGATTGTAGGAGCAGCTGCGGAAAAAGCATTATCACCATACGTCTTTAACCTAGTCCTAGGCACGGCTAGAAAATTCTGGGAGCTAGAACGAAGTAATCGTGGACCATTAGTGTAGCGTAAAAGTTCGGATAGGTAAACTAAGAGTAAAATTTTAAAATGTATGCGATAACCCAGCGGCAACCAATGAAGTTTGAACAGGATAGGAGTGATATGGTCAAACCGCTTAGATAATGTAACAATGCGTGTAGCACTGTTTTGTATCAGTCTTAACCTGTTTAACAGGTGTTTAGGAAGACCATATAACAAAGAGTTACAGTTATCGAGTATAGAGCTAATAAACGTATGTACTAAAATTTGAGACTGAGGATCTTCACTTAAGTACTTCCTGATCTTAGCTATGTTCCTTAAATGATACTGACAGGAAACGCAGATTTTGTTAACATGGTCGGTTAAATCAAGACACTGATCTATAATCACCCACAGATTTCGGGCGAAGGGTTTGGGTTGGATCTTCTCATCAACTACTTGGATAAACTCTAGAGAAGGCCTGCAACGAAATTTTTGAGGTGATGAGAACAAGTTCAGTTTTATCCTGGTTGAGTTTAAGACCATTGTTCACCATCCAACAATCAATGTCGTTTACACAGCATTCGACACGACGAATAGCCAAAGAGAGATCATAGCTACAGTCAGTTCTAAACGATATATAGAGCTGGGTATCATCAGCATATAAATGATACTGTAACTTGTGGAACTTTATGATATCAGCAATGGGTGTTGTATAGAGGAGATAAAGAAGAGGGCCCAGAACAGATCCTTGGGGTACACCGCGTTTTAGAGAGCGCTGTGTTGACCTACAGTCATTGACCCGAACAAACTGCGTGCGCGACGTCAGGTATGACTCAAACCATGCAGCTGCAGTACCGTTTACTCCGAAGCGGTCATGCAATCTTGATAACAGTATCGAGTGATCAACCGTGTCGAAGGCAGCTGACAAATCCAATAAAAGAAGTATAACAGACTCATTGTTGTCAATAGCACACAGAATGTCATTCTGGACCCTTACTAAAGCTGTCTCGGTGGAGTGAAAGTTCTTATATGCAGACTGAAACGTTTCATCTAAGTGGTGCGCCATGACGTGATCTGTGAGTTTTATGGCAACTGCCTTTTCAACAAGCTTCGATACTACTTTTAAGTTCGAGATAGGACGAAAGTTTTGGAACTGTTCAAAGTCAGCATCAGATTTTTTCAATGTGGGCGATAGTGTAGCAACCTTCAGAGCATCGGGCACAACACCAGTCGATGAGGACAGATTGATGATCCTCGTAATAGTAGGAAGTAATATGGTAGCCTTTCAAAACTACCGCAGGTAGAAGATCAAGTTCACAAGATTTAGATAGTGGTTTCCTTGAAAACTTTTTTATTTCCTCCAGGGTAACCTCAGCAAAGTTACAAGAAGCTAAATATTTTGAAAATTAGAACTAAAGAGGTATCAGATTTAGAGTGAGATAACTCCAACGAGGGGATCAGAAGACTGTTTCAAAAACAAATGGAAGGTTAAAACAAAATTTTAAACGGGGGACTACCAGCTTCTTTTCAAGACGATTTTTTTTACTGCTCTCTTATATTCAGTAGAATAGGTACAATTCTCTCTGATGAACGCCGTGGTACCTCCTTTATGTAATATGCCAAAAACTCACCTGCTTAACTCAAATTAATGTTTACACTGACGTAAGTCGTCTCTGATGACTAGAAGATACTTAGCACGAAACTTTGAGCTATTCTCACCGGGGCCATCTCGTACAAACGCCCCAAATCTCTTCGGGATTCAAGGATAAAAATTCCCGCGCGCTCGTAGTCTCCTGGGTGTTCTGTTTCAAACAGGTTTTGTATAAATAGGCCTGTCTTGGCCTGTTTAATTCTCTTTTCGTTAAACCTTCGTCAGTCGTTAGCTTGGCGTTCTTTTTCTCTTGCACGGTCATCGCTGCGCCATCTTCTAAGATTCTCTTCGTTCTTCGTTTTCCATGCAGGACCAAGTCCCTGTTGTTCCTGCGGATGGGGCTGTTGCAGCGGCCGTTGACCCTCCAGTTGTAGCGCCTCCGCCTCCAGCCGACGCTGCCGGTGACAACAACGCACAGAACGCTTACGACAACGTGGTTCGTGCGCCCCAACCTGCGGTTCAGGAGGTTAGTGTTTTCTCTTGTCCTAATCTAACACTAATCTGATAGTCCTTTGATAGTCAACTGTGCACTGGAACTCCGAAATCGGTGGTGCTGGAGCTGTTCTTTCTGTAGTGGGGTCACACCAGTGGCAGTGAAGTCGCGGGCCCTAAGACGCTCAGAGCTGTTCAATACGCTCGACGAACACTTCATGAACACTTATGTAACCAACTGATAAGAAAGTCGTGTTTACCTGTGGAACGGACTTCCATCGAATTATTTCACTTATTGACTAGTACAGAAGACTGTTAATCAAGTACGAAAATTGACTTTCATCGTTAATTTTTCGCTTCTCATGGTGTTTTTCGCTACATTTCTTACCTTTCCGACAATAGGCAGTAGACAAATACTGAGGTGGCTGGCTGTCTTGCAGGAACAGATTTAATATTCAAATATATTTGCGTTCAGTTCTTGCTCTCTTCGTAGCAAGCACCGAATTCAGACGCTGAATAAATGTATTAGAATCTCACTATCGCTATTTTCTCGCATACGATCATACTTTACGACGAAGCCTCCAAAACGCTATATATTTCATCCTTGCAGCTCGTTGTTTGACTATGTTGAAGTTGCGTGGGTTGAAGCAGGATGTTGCAAAGAGCTCAGAACCGAAAATGCAAGAAGGCATTTTGGTTTTTTAAGTGATCATATAATCTGGTACCTTGGTTTGTTAGTACCCTACAAGAAAAAGGGCTTTGCACGATCCTGCCACTGGAAGAACAAAAAAACTGCGCCAACCAAAGCCTGAACGCAAAACATGGGCAAAATAACTTTTCAAGTTGGCGGGGACTATATTACTATTCTCCCCTTGTCAGTATTAAAAGCGCCCCGTCCCTACATACTTAAAAAAAAGTATGATAAGTAATCATTTTTAATTCATAACATTTATTTCTTACTATCTTTACACATTTTTTTAAATATTGACCTTCGTTGTATATTTTTCCATGTCTACTGCTACTACCACTTGAGACTGATTATTATCACATTTAATATAAATGAATTCAACTGACTATTTTATAAATATACATGACAAGTAATTTCATTCATCTCAACATGCTTTGAATTGAGAGACAATCCTATCTCCGGAATAACTACTCCTATGAATGGCCTGAAAATACTATATGTAAGTAATGATTAAATTTTTTATCTTTTCTTTTATTTAAAGTTGTTTTAATTAGTTAATTAAATAATTAAGAATCAATTAAAGGGGCTATGTCACCCAACACGCATGCGCGAGCCAATGAAAACAAACTTGAAAAAGACGGCCCAACTTTTTCAAGTTGTGTCGGAGATTTTGGAAGGCTGTTTTTATCTGTCTAAATCTCAGCCATCGTTCGATAGTTAGCGAAGTTTTGTATTAAGAATCGTTCTATGGTGATTACAGAACAATTTTTTGGCGTTATTTTAAAATTGTTTGCCTGTGGAATGTTTTTACGTGGATTTACTGTGTCCTCTTATCAGCGGCCGTTGTAATGGCAGAGTTAATGACGGCTACTCCACAATGAGTGATGGAATCTTTGATGGAATCTTCCCTATAGTTCACAGGACCTTTCTATTGAGTTATTTTAGAGGCTGCTGGCTCTTGGATTTTTCTTGTGCTCAAAGTATGTGGACATATAATGAAGCGGCTATCGAGTTGGCGGCGGCCGTTTTTTGTAAACGATTACAAGAGCATCAGGCCATGAGTTTCGTGACGAAACTAAACTCCTGGCGAAGGAAACATTCTAAAATTCGGCTAGATTCCTTCTTGTATTTATCTCGATTCACGGCAAAGATAAACACGACCGTTTGCTCGTCCAGATTGTTCTCAACGGACTTAGAGAGGCACCTTAGTACGAGTTAGATCCTGTAAATGCCATGTTTTTGAACTGTTTGTGTTCGAGCATAATTTTGGAAAATAGCAGAGTTTACTTTCCCTTTTTATCAACGGACTGCTTATAGTGGAGTAGTATACCAATGATGCTGGGTTCTGTTTTTCTCGACGTCGCAGTGATTCGGCACGATCGAACAATTTTGCGCGATAATGTATGTTTCCCTAAGATCAAAACAAAGACTTGGTCTCTTGTTCTATCAGCATCTAAATTATAAAATCAATAGCGACAGACAAGTCTAATTGTTAATGATTTGAAACAGTCTTGGTCTTTATCTTCGGTCTAGCGTCTTTTGTAGCTCGTTTGTAAAATACAACTTCCATTTATTTTGTTGAATAAGACAATATTTTGTTGTTGAATTTTTGTTTGCGCTCTATTTTATGAATGGCATGCGTTTTTACTTCAAAACTACAAGTAAAATTGTCGTCACAATTTTATTCTTGATCTAGCATAACCAGAGAAGAAACGTTCCATAAATTCTATCGAAACATCCCTTATCTAAACCCATTTCGCTTGTTAACCTCTCTAAATTCGGAACCTTGGACGTGACAGAGAACATGAAGAAAGTCACGCGTTAAAAACAATAGAATTTTGACAGTTGAAAGTAATTTGCATAACCTCAGAGCGCACATGGAGAAAGTCACGCGTTAAAAACAATAGAATTTTGACATTTGAAAGTAATTTGCATAACCTCAGAGCGCATGCTCTCCAGCTGACATAGCCCCTTTAAATGCAGGTGGCTTTTGCACTACAGTAATATTTTGTTATAGTCATTCAAAATAAGCTTGTTGTTGTAATCTTGAACATATTTTCACATTCAGGTTTTCTTATCATTTCTTCTTCTACTATAGGAAATTTTAAAATACACCGCTTTGTTTCCCATGGTCCTTTGAATACCAGCCTCGTGGCTGAATGGGCTACCTTGGTTAAATAACATTTCTTACTTTCCCCCCTTACTTACCTACTAAAGTAGAGAAGTGATGACGTCACAAAAACTAAAATTTAAAAAATTATTAGATTTTAAGATCCATGTTAATTTTAGGAGCATTATATGGAGTCATCATAGCATTATTGTATAGAAGCCTTGGGGTCGAGGTTGTCGTTGTCTTGGGAGAGCAGTACAAAAATAGCGGAATATTTCAAACGTTTTGCAAAGATGAAATAACCGAACTACTGCCAAAAACAGCAAGAATACAACCCGATAGACGACGCTTACTATTTGGAGAATATCAGCAGAACTGATCATCCCTTTATCTCCTGAACTTGCAGAGAAACAATGAAATGAAGAGGGGAACTTAACATCGATCGAGGCAAGCATGTTTTAGCTTGTTTTTAGACTGGAAATTATTTTCAGTGAATGAATAACAAATTAAACAGTTTTTGGATTCGGCTGTCGTATGATCTGAAGAATTATAGTAATCTCGATCTCCATAACTCTTCAGATTATACTCAGCCTCACTCAACAAATCCTAAAAAATGAAATTTTTGTGACGTCACACTTTTCTACTTACTTACTTTCTTTACCTATGCCCTGTACTTACTTACTTACTTTGCTCTTTGACGGAGATCAAACTCATAAAAGCGAATCTCATAACAAGAGAATGTTTCAGATATTAAACTAAGTTTACTTGAAAGTACGACAATATGATAACACGTAATTCACACCTGTCACGTATTATTACATTTACTAGTACATTTTCAGTTCCTTATACTGTTCCTATTGATCCAGTTATTACTGGTTAGAATATAGTTTTTGATGTCTAGAGTCCAAGTAAACTAATGTTATCTAGTTTTCCCCTAGTTCCCATAAATATTTACGTACACACTAACTAAATTAACTACACTACCCCGTGTACTTTAAATAACAACTAGTAAAACAAATTCTTGTAAGTAATGGAACAACTAGAAACAGAAATAAATAAACTAAAGGAGAGGAAAAGAAAAAACAAAACAAACAAAACCGGAAGAAGTGAATTGAAGTATTAAAGTATGGCGGACTTGAAAGGAGTGGATAATAGATAACTAATTTTATAACCAAGCATATAGTTTATAAAGCCCATAAGATTGTGCCTATATATTTAGATTACTCCTGTCCTATCCGAATTTTAGGCGACAGAATGAGCGTTTGAAATGTTAACAAATGCTTGGTAAGGTAAAATTTAGCTAGGGTTTCAGAGACACGTCAGGGACTGGTCATTATTTATCGGGAGAGGGGGGATAGTGGAAATGGGGGGTGGGCCACCATTTTTTATGGATGGCTTCTTAAGGTGACTCGACCCAGTTTTTTTGTGGGGCTACCATCCTACTTTGAAGCTCTCTGGTATCCCCACCTTTACTTTTATCGTAAGTCTAACACATACAATGGATAACATATAGATCAATCTACAATATAACATAAAATTTTTGGCGATGGGAGTAAATGTCACGTGGTTATAATGCCACGCCCCTTTCAGGTCTGAGTCGAAAATCTGCTGTTGCCGGTATTTTTTCGTGAAAATCTCTCGGTTACACATAGTGGGCATTAGTGCCTTGCGCTGAACAGAGTTTCACCAAAATCGCAAAGACCCAATTCGAGAAATTCAGTGGTTTCCATAATTTATGCGAAAATGATAAGCAAACTTTACACGATTATATCTAATAAACTATGAGACTTATCCCTTTATTTTGGGGATCGTTATAACAGATGGGTCCTTGCAAGTCAGCAAAAGCTTTAGGGCTTGTAAATACGCGCGATTTCGAGCAAGGCAAACATATAGAAATTATAGTTTTAGCTATTTGTTGACGTTTGTCAGCGTTTAAGAGTCCTTCTCACGAAAAAAGCATTTTCTTAAAAATTCGTAGTTTTTTCCCTTCAAATTTTTTCAGGGCCACAATTGATTAACTGACTACCCGGATTCTGAATTTCATGGTCATTGAAAAACTGTGACATTATCTTCTATAAGCCCAAACTTGAGTAAACATTGAAGATTTTTAGCGTTTTGGCTGAGTTTGTGCTTTGGGAGTTGTCTATTGTTTCTAGTCTGTCATTCTTGTTCAGCACGCGCGCAATGCCACGCTTGGCTGACTTCCGAATGCTCACTAAGGGAAAAGCCCTGGGGACGAGGTTGACACACTTTTTGTTTCATGCATGCCGGAGGACAAGGGCGGATGGGGGGGGGGTCATCAAAAATCGTGTTAAAGTAAAATGGGGGTCAGCGAAAATCAAGCATTCTCTATTTTCCAATTGCCCATAATACACTCTGTTTGCCCCCCAAATTCTGCATAAACCATTCTTTTTAAATGCTCCTGGGAGTATTGCATTTTCCCAAGAGCATTTTAAGACAATAAGTTATGCAAAATTTGGGGGGCAAACAGAGTGTATTAAGGGCAATTGGAAAAAAGTCAATGGCATATTTTACATTGCACCCCCCCCCTTCTTGACAAGTATTACATAGTGCGATGGATTTATTACACAATGCGACAGGTATTACAAAGTGCAATGATTATTAGAACTATGATTGCAAACGTACATTCATATTATTATACTATAAAGTTCTGATGCACATTTCGAGTCATCTCTATTAACTGACCATTGACCGGCTTGACAAGTTATTGACGAAACTGAAATAGGTTTTGACTATTTTCGCAAACCCCATAAATCCCTTTCTTCAACCCCCCTCCCTACCCCCACATTTTGCATAAGTTCTTGTTTTCAAATGCTCCTGGCAATATGCAGTCCTCCCAGGAGCATTTAAAAACAATCATTAGTTTATGCAAACAGAGTTTATTATGGGGAATTCAAAGAGAGAAAAAATCGTTAGTAATTACTTCTTCTTCTTCTTGTGGAGGCGTGTGTGGCCGGGTGGCTAGCACCTCGAACTCCGGATCTGGAGGTCCGGGGTTCAAGCCTCGCCCGTCTCCAGTGCGCCGTTACCTTTACCTCTACCTATATATTTACCATATTGAACCAAATTTTAATAAGTTCCGTAATAAGTAAGTAATAAGTATTAATAAGCTATGCATAATATTACTTTTTTCAGTAAGAGGGCAAATAATCCCAGAGGCGGCGGAGCGTTTTGAACCGTAGGGGGGGATTAGGCGGGGAGGAGCTCATCTTCCACTCAGACATACGCACACCCCTCCTCAAATTTTCAACAAAATGCCATTTGCGTTGTTCGTTGGCACAAGCAATCTATACAGTGTCTAGCGTGTCCGTAATCGATTTGTGACAATACACCAGTAGGTAGTTGTTCAGGCGGTCCTGCTTCATTGTGCTTCTTAAAGTCGCTGATGTCACGGGTATTGTCAAATACATCGGTAAAAGTGTTTTCGGCACCAAAACGTGGGGAGGCTCTGCCCCCCCCCCTGCCCCCCTACTCCGCCGACTATGAATCATTGACCAAACCGAAAACGCCTAGGAACTAGGCTGTGTTTTGCCGACTTCTGTGACCTGTGATCACTGCCAATCGAAAGTTTTACAAGAGGTAGTTTAGCGAGCATGAAGATGAAACACAGTAGCAGCTGCATTTTGTCTTTGCCGACGTGTAAACAATAACAGGAGAGCTTTCCTAAACTCGGGCATTCTTATTGTGTAAATCACGGGATTAACAAACGAGTTTGTATAAAATAAAAGCAGAAAAGGCAAATTTAATCGCGTTCTTTTTGTGTAAGAAAGTGATCGAATGCTATCAGTTGTATAGAAAACAAAGGTACCTATAGCGTATGGTAGCCACAACAGTAATGATACAATAGTCATGATGAGTAACGTTACAGTCAGTTTTCTTTGCCTACGGGCTGCACCATGGTGCTGTGGACGCGCCCCACAACAAATTTTGACAATAATCGAGGCGTAACAAACACAGATAACAAAAAGGCATAATAAGCAATATGATTGCCATAAAAACTGCCTGTGTGACCGTTCTTTGTCGAATAATTTAAGCATGAAAATGGCAGTTGATATCATCCCAGCTAAAACCCAGACCACAGAAATTGTTACCCCGTAGACCCAATTTTTGATAACGCGATGCCTGAATGGACGAAATGTTGCATGCATCCGCTCTAACGAAATTACAGTTATGTTTGTAAGAGAGGTTAGAGGAAACCAATAGAAAAGAAACCAAGTTATCATGTACCCGTCCCAAGGTAACCTTACAATCACAGTTTTGCATTCCATGCGTGAATTAATTGAGAGTATATATATAGTAGAAAGTCCTCCAACCAACATGTCAGCTATGGTCAAGTTTATAACCAAGTACATGCCACGAGTGCGAAGATTACTGTTTGTTATGAAAAGAATGATCCATAGAAGATTCACTGTTACTATAGCAACAGAAACGGTAAGGAATGCAGCAAACCAGTTAATGCACTCGGATGTGGAAAGCATCGTGGATAATTTCTTTTCGCTTACCACCTTCAGTTGCTCTGCTACCTGTACAAAGATGAATTCAAGTAAAGGTTGCTTAGTTGGAAAAGAAACGTTAGTAGGTGAACTAAAAAGAATGACTTCAAGTCCTCCAAGATCTGTAATGGAGACACATTGAAAGAGCGCTCACCTCAACCCTAAATAAGCTATTCCTTAGCCGTGTGTCGTCACAAAAGCTGAAGTAACGGTCTTGCTTTCACCTTTAAAACAAAAAAAGTCAAAAGTAGCGCACGAGGTTAGAGGCAGGAAAAAATATTGCATCTGGAAACTCTTTGCAGCAATTTCAAAGAGATTAATTTTGTAGTCATTATAACTCAAAGATTTATTTTACAAAACGTAACTTATCTAGAATCAATGTGCCACTCGAAGTTTTTTATCACGTGGAATCAAACTTGACCTTAGCTGTTTTTGTCGACTGACTCCGATAAATATCTTGGCGACAAATCGCTTCTGCCCAACAGAAAACTGAAAACTTAAAGACAACGACGAAAAGTAATTTTCTTTCTTAGGCCCGGTTCAGATGCCTAACTTTTCATGAGCCAAACCTAATTCTAATATTAAGGCCGACCCAAATTATTTAGACCAGCTGAATTGATTCTGCCGAGCTAAAATCAAAAGGAGAAAAGTGCTCATTTCGGTCAAACTACTTACAAAATGCGTTATTTAGCAATTAATGAATGAGGCTGAGTAGGATATGAAGAATTAAGCAGATCGAGGAGGGTGTTATCTTTCAGAAAAGCGGGAATCTTTAAAATGGGGAGTCTTTAAAATGGGGAATCTTTAAAACGGGGAATCTTTAAAATGGGGAATCTTTAAAACGGGGAATCTTTGAAACAGGGAATCTTTAAAACAGGGAATCTTTAAAAGCGAGAATCTTTTGTAAACGCTTTTATAATCGAGGATGATTCTATAAACCCTTACTTTTGCTGATTATGGTAAACCGAGTTATCTTTACCAGGCTGGTGTGAAATCAATCCTTTCACATTTCCAAGTTCTTAGCTGAATGATTTTGAAAGCGTTGGTCTTGAAAAAGTTTGAATTTGACAAAGGTAGTAGTCTGTTTCAGCCAATCAGTTGAATGAACTAAAAACGCGCGCGCTGTCAAAATTTGTTGTTGTAGTCATGGTTTTCGTGTGTATTATTACCTATACAAATTAAAATGCAATTATTTGTTTAAAAAAGGAAATGACATCCCGGCCAATAATAATCATTATAGGTCTGATAATAGTCTGTCATGGTCTCCTGACCCACGGTGGGTTTTAATTTTAATTTTCCGACGAGCGTCTACGTCAAGTGTTTATTCGAGCTTCCCCCGGGCATACGTCCTTCAAGATTAAGCGATCCGTCCCAAAAGTAATCTGCAATTTACACTCCGAAGCGAGAAAACTGAATTTCTTGTTACTTATTTTCTCTAAAATAAAAGTGCTTTTTGCGATTTTTGAGTTTTTGCTCAATTTTTCTTGGCGGTCGCTCTTAAAAAGACTGTGGTTACCACCGCTCAGCTACTACAATTTGTAGCTCATTCATCTATAACCTTCGATCCGGTTTACCTTTCAAAAATAAAAACCAAACAAACCCCCGGGTAAGACAAACTTAAAGCAAGGGGCACACATACACCAACCCCCGGCCTGGCCAGTACAGTCACGGATGCGCATTTTTGCGGGAATATTCGTATATTTGTAGCCACAACGTGCTTCGTTTTACCTCTTTCTACGCTACGTTGTCTTCTGGAAATTTCAAAGTGCCTTTGACATTGACGGTGAAGAAGCAGCGAATCGTTCGCTTTGAAGGCCGTCCAGAATTTAAATGGAGTGATCTAGGGGAACAGGATGTTGTTGGACAAGGCTCATTCGGAGCGGTTTTTATGGTTTTCGATAGTAGTGGTTAAAAACCTAAAACTGGATTTATCTGGAGTCTACTTAGTGAGATTTATCATATCTCCGAGACGATGCGCCAACACGGGTGATAATGCTAAACTTGATCAGCTCCTCATTGGCACGTGAACAAGGCTATTAGCAGGTAGATAAAGAGGAGCTGATTTCGCCGTGAAATCGATTCAACAAGCGTCTCGAATCAATCCCTTCGAGAAGATAGACATTATTATATTGTTATATTTTTTACATGTCATAGATGATATTTGAAATAATATTTATGTCGTCGTTGTTTCAAATTTGTAATTCACTTACCTTCATGTTGTCGTGGTTTTAAAATCCCCCGGGGTAAAAATCCTTCATAAAATGGAACCAAGAACGAGAAGTCCAAAGACTACTGCAAAGCTGATTTAAAACAACGAGTATTGTTTTTTATAACAATATTTCGGCTGGCCATACCAGCCTTCTTCAGGTTTACAGATGTTACTAAACTTATGTATAGGAATCACAATATTATATAGATGGAGAATGTCGCACTAAAAATTGTTTTAAAAGGGAGATGCGGAAATGACGTACGACATAAAAACTGGAAAGGAAAAAATTCGAAGGATATGGATTACAATAATTCGTCACGGCGGCTTCAAATATATCACGACGTCACGTTTACGTCGGGATTATGTTTAGAGGGTGTGAATGGGGTTAACCGACTAACGACAAAGGGCAAAAAATATTACTGACTACCGACAAAATGAGTAAAAAATTACCGATTACCGACAGGAAAAATATTAACTGACTACCAACATGGGCTGATCTTATCAATAAACGGTACCGCGATGAGCACAAAGACAGCAGTTTATTCCTTTCCAACTTTTTCATGGCATATATTGAAACACAAAGTTTAAGCAAAACCGTCTTTAAACCAACTGTTTGAAAACGCTACGTAGATGACATTTTTTCCCTATGGGACCTAAATAAACCATACATCGTAGCTTTCTTCGCGGAACAAGTAAACCTACATCACCCTACTATGAAATTCACGGCCGAAATATCTGAAAATGAGACACTTTTTTTAGAAACCGTTGTATACCAAGGCACAACATTCACCGAAAAATGAGAAAAAGTTATCCTTGACGTAAAGAGAGGGTGTGACTGGGGTTAACCGACTACCGACAAAGGGCACAAAAAAAAAATTTCCGACCACCGACAAAACGCAAAAAAAAAAAAAATTACTGACTACCGACAGGAAAAATGTTAACCGACTACCAACATGGACCGAAATTGCCTATCTTTTTTTTCAAAAAGAAGAGTATATTGTATTTTTTCTACCTTTCTAGGAAGTAACCAAAGATACCACGTCACAAGTCTTTACAAATATACCACAAAACGAGGGTATTGAAATCGGTTTGCAGTGCGTATGAAAATTTCTACAAAGCGACCCGCCTAGTCCTACACATTTAATACATGCGAGAAATGCTTAGATTAATCCTCAAAGAAAATTCTTTCCAGTTCAATGGAAAGCTCTACCTACAAACCCACAGTACCGTGATGGGCACGAAGACAGCAGTTTCCTCTGCCAACATTTTCATGTCATGTTGAAACATAAAGTCTAAGCTATAACGTCTTTAAAGCAGAAATCGTAATATCTTCGAAGAAGCAAACTTACATCATCCTACTATTAAATTTACCAACGAAATTCACTGGGACAATGGTTTTAGACACAGTTGTATGCAAAGGCACAAGATTCAGCGAAAACGTTATCCTTGATGTTAAGACTACGAAAACCTTCCAGCACACATTTTTCCCCTTGTCACCCACCGATTTGCCAAAAGAGTTTGAGGAAAGTGTTTCAAATTCAAAAGAACGCTTGATGGTTGACGATGGACAGAGGCTACCAACACAATTTGAAAGAAAAATTGCAATCAGAAATAAATGAAACTCACAGAAACCGAAGTCGGCGCTCCTGAAACAAAACAGCAAGGAAGAAAAAAAAGAAAGCTGCCTTTCGTGACGCAATACCAGCCCTTAGTGTCTACTGTAAAAGAGGCTTTAATGGAAAAGTGAAATCGCATAAAAAACTAACCGCTACTTTGCTAATTTTTTAAAGAACCATCCCTTATTTCCAAAAAGAAAGGAAAACCATGGCAAAGAACATGCTTGTTAGAGCCAACATGTTAAAGGTCAACACACGGTTTTAGGCCGGTATAGATGTCCAACCTGTCACCTCTTGCAGTTTTTCACCTAAAATAATTTAAGTATCCAAAAAGTTAGAGTGGGCGTTTCCCTCTGTCAAAATTAACCTCTCTTCATTACTTTTTATGGTGCCCTGTAATCAACAGGGAAACCAAGTTCGCATTTGCAATAAAAGCTTTGGTGATTTTATTGGTACTACATTGGCAAACAAAGGTGAAATAATTAAAAAATCATGTTGCATAATGAAGTTTAAGTTCAATCAAATGATGCATTTTTACAAGTTTTATACGTTTTATAGGGATCAAAATCTGGAAACTGAGTGAAACGCGTAACAAATATTTATTTAATAATTAACTTGCATTTTTACTTATTAACTGAGATAAACCGACAACCGACAAAGATCGAAAATTTTAACCGACTACTCGGAAAAAGTAACTAAATTTTAACCGACAACCGACAAGTGGACCCCCCCATTCAGACCCTCTAAAGACGCATTTCAAACGGAAACCTAGCTTATTGTCAGTATATTACATTTTCACCTCTTATCATCCACCAGTTGTTAAAGCGCATGTTTGACAAGCGAGAAGCCTTGAAAATCCTACGAACAAACTCCTCTGAGGACTAAGTATTTCAGATTTCAAAAGCGCTTGATGAACAGAGGCTAGCCACACAATTTTGAAAGAAAAATTGCTATTAGAAGTAAAACTCACAGAAAGGAAGGCAGCTCTCCTGAAGCGAAACAACAAGGAAGGAAAAGAAACAATGCCTTTCGTGGCACAATACCAGCCCTTAGTGTCTATTATAAAAGATGCTTTAATGAAAAAGTGGAATCTCATACAAAACCAACCACTACCTTGCCAAAATTTTAAAGAACCACCTAAAGTGCTATTTCTTTGAGAA